TGGCCGGTATTTGGCTTAATTTCCTCCCTTGGATCTCGATCTAGCCTAACCGAATTGTGTTTACGGAGGATCCCATTGCCGGGGTAATATCCTTTCTCTCAAGAAATGAAGTCTCCGCAAACCATCCTCAAGCACATACAACTGATCTGAGTCTCTGATAGATGTCTCAATCCTAACGTTTTGCAGGAAGCTTCCATGCTTCCAGTCGCGAAGCCTAGAGACAAAGACAAAGACAAATTGTAGGTTGTGTCTTGAAAGAGTCTCATTTGTGGCGACCCCGTCCCCATGCCGACTAGCCCCAACTGCTCTGCATGGATCGCCGTCGGCATCGCTGCGCATTCTAATCGACCAAACGTTTTGAGTAAGCCTCTTGCTAAAGAAGCATGACCAACACTACTACAGTACATCCGCCCATTTTATGACTCTTTTCCACAACCTGACAGCAGCAAGGTTTTCGTCTTTCTAAATTGCCGACGCTTGCAGTCATCGGGTAGGATAGCAAGCTTTTCGCTAGGTTCTCTCTGACGCCCCCTGTTCAAAGAAAGCAAGTTCCACTCCCTTTTGTTCTGAACGCTGTCAAATTTACTCGGTTTCGGATCTGGTTGAATGGCGGATCTCGACATCGATAGGGATCAAGACTTTGCTTTGCCATACCACAGCTTCAATTTTGAAAGGCTAAGGCTCCAATGCTGAAGCGTTCTTGAGGAGTAAATTGACACCCAGGTAAGATGACCTCACCATATTGGACGAGTAGCAAAAGAAAGGTAGCCATTGAAGACCTTCTCTATATCTATTTATGGTATAACGCCGCAATTGCTAAATGAAGCTTCATCTTTTGACCCCGCGATGCTTGGTGCTGGCTTCAGCAAAAGTGACACCATTTCTCAGGTCGTCTGCGACACGTTGATCTGCCTCTATCTGTGCCGGAATGAGCTCCAAGGCCCTCTTCGCCAAAGCTTTTGGAAGGCACACAACACCGTTTATATCACCCACGATATAATCGCCAGGTTCCACCACAGCGTCAACGGTATGGTCGTATAGCCTGAGAGGCACGTTAATCTGTGGCGGGAGAATTAGCACATCAAGCAATTTCCCAACAAACCTTTTTCGTCTTCCTCGAGAGGTGATCATACCTCACTCACACGCACAACCTCATAGGGTGCGGTCGTCCCAACATCACGGGCAAAGACCTGCATTGGTCAGTCATTAAATCTTCAGTTTAGAGCGCTGGAGGTCACACTGGATAACCCAGGTTTCGATGTTCTTGGACGTCACGAATCCTTCCATCGACTACTGTTCCCACAGCACCTGAGGCTTGAGCTCTCGTACTCATCAGACCACCATAAACGGCATTGACGATTCCTGGAGGAGATGATACGAACACCACTGCGCCTTTGGGAATTGTATCAATCTGGAACAGGTCAATACACAGGCCAAAGGTCATTGGACAAGCTCGAGAGAACGACTAACATAGTGCCTCGCAGGCTTGGGCTCATTTTCATAGTTTTTACGGACATACTTCACAGTATATGCTGGGCCAGCCATTTTGGCCTCACCGTGTCTTTCGGGTGACCACATTGTGAGCCCTGGTAAGAACCCGCCATGCGGGTGCTTGAGCTTCATCAAGGCGTCCGAAACATCACAGCTTAGCAAGGTGTCAGTCCGTGGTAGACCCAGTCTCCCTAGGAGAACTTACGTCGTGTACTGCCGGAGGGCTGCGACGATTGAGTCTTGATCAGTCATGTTCCGAAGGTATGCGAAAACATCAATATCAAGCCCGAGGAACGTGGGAGGATTACTTGTATCACGATGTGATTGTGGAATCGGGCAAACTCCGGGTCAAATTCCGATGCTGTACCTGGCAAGAGCCACGACAACGCGGCATTGCCCATGAAATGCTGCCACAATCCGGAATAAATTTCTCTTCCTTTGGCATACTGAGCAGACAAGAGCTCACAGACTCTAATATGGGATCTATACCGACTGTTGCCATTATCTATGTGGTCGACCCGTATCATGAGGATGCTATTGCCAAACTTCGAAGTCAACGTAACTTGACTGTCATTTTGCCAGGAGATCCGCGAATCAAATCCTACCACACGGACGCGACGCATATCCTTGTGAGATCCGAGACGACAATCGGCAAAGAGGACCTCCTCAAAGCCCGCAATCTTAAGGCTATTATCAAACAAGGCGTCGGTGTCGACAATATCGACCTGCAAGCCGCACGAAGGCATGGTGTCATCGTTTGCAACACCCCCGGCATCAATAGCGAATCTGTGGCCGAATTGACGTTGACGTTAGCTTTAAGCATTGCTAGGAGAGTTTGTGAAATTGATAGACGGGTGAGAAACGGGGAGAAGGTGATCAGAAGTAAGACCCTAGGCCACAGCCTGTTCCGCAAAACTATCGGGGTCATCGGGATGGGAAATATTGGCCGCGTTGTTGCAAAGAAGTGGGTTGGAGCAATGGAAGGGAAGGTGATTGCCTACGACCCTTATTCCCCCGATAGCGCATGGGACGATATGAAAGAGGTTCAGCGAACTGCTCAACTTGGCGAGCTTCTGGAACAGGCGGACGTGGTCAGCCTACATGTCCCTCTGACTGAACAGACTCAGGGCATGATAGGAAAGGAGGAGTTCGCGATGATGAAGAGAAATGCGATTCTCATCAACTGCGCAAGGGGTGGCATTGTAGACGAAGAAGCCTTGCTGGAAGCTTTGCGCGAAGGCCAGATCTTGGGTGCAGGCCTGGATGCGATGGAAGTCGAGCCTCCAAGCCTCGAGAAGTACGGTAACACTCTACTGGATCACCCTGGTGTGATTATGACACCTCACATTGGCGCCTCTACCATTGAGAACCAAAGTAGAAGCGGGATCGCAGCCGTCGACATTTTATGCAAGCTGCTTCGAGGCGAGGAGGTAGAAAGCCGCTTGACATAGTGCTGGAATATAAATGGAGACCATCAGAATAGCTGGATTACTCCCTTCCTCCCAAGTCCTGCTTATTCCGGTACCTTGGTCACTTGGCGTCGTGGGGGACATATTTTGCTGGTGAAACACCTGGATATTTCCTTGTAGCCGTTCTCCAATTTTGCTTCTTTAGCACCTGGTTCGGAAGATTCGAGCTCGTACAGCCCATGCGTTTCTCAACTGTTGGAGACAAAATGTTTAAGGGTAAAGCCCGTTGCTTTGGTTCAATACGAGCCGAACAGGAAAAAGACCCCGGAGTTTGGCCCGGACAGTTTCCGGGGCAGATTCCGTGCTCTCCAATTGCACGCTCGGCGGTACTCGGCTATGCCCCTGAGGACTGGTGCCGTCCCAGTATAGAAATGGGGCAAGGACCGTTCCCACACCCCTGCGGTCCAAGGCTAAAATCATTGTACGACTTTCTCCGTACCTTCGTTTTGGAAGACAACTGACAGACCCCAAGGTCGAGGAGCCCGCCAGAATGTCGGATACTTACGTTTACGTCACAGCTGATACTGCCCAGAAGTTTGCTGAAGAGCTTCTAGAGTCAGCTGGATGCCGAAAGGAAGATGCGAACACCATCGCACAGGCGCTGGTGCTGGCCGATCTCCGAGGAATCGATACTCATGGCATCAATAGGCTACCCGGGTACCTGGACCGAGTCAAAGCTGGTGTCCTCAATGTTAGACCGGATCTTCATCTCATTCAAAAAACCCCAGTGATGGGGCTAATCGACGCGCAAAATACCTTCGGATTTCTCGCTGGATGTAAGGCTGTCGATGAGGCCATCAACATGGCTACAATTTACGGAGTTGGAATTGTGGCCGTCAAGAACAGCGGCCATTATGGAATGGGCGGCACATACTGTTTACGGGCGATGGAGAAAGGCTTTGGTGCAATGGCATTCACGAACTCGTCTCGAAGCATGCCGGCCTGGGGCTCAAGGGAGCCACTTCTCGGGACGAGCCCCTTTGCAGTAGGACTACCTGGGGGCCAGAACGGCGACTTCCTCTTGGACATGTCCCCTTCTGTGGTTGCCCGGGTTGGTATTGAGATTTCTAGGAAGCAAAGTAATGGCTGACGTTTTCACAGGGGAAGATCCGGAAAGCGGCAAGAAGAGGTGAGTCCATACCCGAAGGATGGGCGCTAGATGCAGACGGGAGAACAACGACAGACCCTGCTGCAGCTCTAAAAGGAGTGGTGCTCCCTATTGGGGGCCCGAAAGGCTCCGGGATTGCCATGATGATGGACATTTTTGGCGGTCTGATGTCCGGGGCATCTTTCGCTGGAGGAGTCAACGACCAGTACCACGTCCTCGATAAGCCGCAGGGTGTTGGGCACTTTTTCATGGTGTTCCGCCCTGATGTCTTTCTCAAGTCGACAACGGAATACATTCAGCGGATGGACCTCCTCATGCATAAAATCCGGACATCAGAACCCGCTGCCGGTGTTAATCGGGTGTACATTCCTGGAGAGATCGAGAAGTCAACAGAAGAGCATCGCAGAGTGGATGGTATTCCATTTACGCGCGAAGAAGTCCAAAGGCTTGAAATTTTGGCTGAAGAATGGGGTTGCAGTGTGAAACTAGGGCCTCCAAAAGTTGTCGGCTCAATTCAGTCGAGAAATTGAAAGAAATGCTTTGCCCATCTTGAGTGGACGACGAGGATGTTTTACTATAGACTTACAGGAGATGACGGAAGTACACAAAATCTGGATGGAAAAAAAAAACCATCTGACTTTGATAATATCGAACTTAGGAACATAATACGGCGTGAGGGCAATGAAGCACGAAAATAGGATGAAGGACTGAAAAGTGCGACTTCTTCGGCATGTTTTTGGTGAGAGAATACAAAGGCCCAGCGTCGTCTGTGAAGAATGGAAAACATGGTAAACATTGAGAATTATTTACTATGGAGAATGTTGTCTGCTGGTATCAATTTTATGATCCAATGGCGATTGATTTTGCTTTCTCATAATCTGAACAAGATCTACGTAGTCTCTGTCCTCGTTATCGTTAGCCAAGCTGTTATTTTAGATCATGTAGCGGAACATCGGGTTGGCGTCGGCGTCTTCTGAAACATCGATAGACTGTCCTTTTTGCGGTGTCCCGTATTGTCGATCGCGTTGACGGTTAATCCGGTGGAGTGTCATGGTATTTGCCAATGTTATAACTGCGGTTGCAATCGACATTGCAAAACACAGATAATGTCCTTTCCGATACTGCGGCGCATCGGTAGAGGGATAAAAGAACGAGCCCGCTATTGAGCCTAGATTCCCCATCGCAGTATACGCGCCCATTCCAACAGCTCTTTTGGTTTCGTTGCCAAAATTGTTCGCAGCCCATGCATGACTTGGAGGATAAGTTGCGTAGACACATGCGACAGCGATGCACTGAGTGAAGGTTAGAAAAAAACCTCATTTGAATGTAACACAACAAGAACATACCATGCAGCCATATTTTGCAGATAAATGATTATTGTCCAAATTCGCGAGACAAGCATACATCACAGCTGCAGTAGAGGAAAGAATGAAAATCGGAATTCCTCGGCTTCGATATCGGTCCGAGAGCCATGATGTGACATACATCAACGCAAACGCACATGCATATGGTGGAACTGCAGGGCATATGTGAGCATAAGCATACTGGAATGCCGGAAAATCCATACCAGTCATCAGGTTTGCAGAAGTTGTAGCCTTGTACCCCAAGCTTCTGACAATTGAGGGCAGAAATCCCGAGATTGAGGACAACAACGCGGCCGTAGGGACATATATCGCCGCTAGTATGGAGGCTTAGCGATGTCAGGGAATGTCCCTTCCATGCAACACACCTTGGACATAAAGTCTCCAATCGGTCAGAGCTAGCATAAAATGCTTCTTGCTGATACCAGGATTTTGGTCCGTGGTCTCCCTCCAATAACGAGCAAGTGCAACCTTCTGCAGTATGCCTTTGAATCTCGAATTCTTCGTTGGCCGATCAGGTAGCCAATAGAGGCAGAAAAGACCAAGGCAGAAACCGGGGATACCCTCAATTATGAAAAGAAGCTTCCATTGCTGAACGCTGGACTGAATATGGCCGATGCTGAAAGCGATCAATCCACCGAACGCTCTGCACATACGTTAACAATCTCCAAAAGGATTGGGCGTTTGTGTATTCTTGCCCTGCAATGGCTGTCGGTCCAAGAAACCAGAAAACCCGTATACCGAGTTCATCACGGTGGTACCAAATGCTCAGGTAGTAGACGATTCCAGTACCGAAAAGTCCCTCAAAAACACCGAGGAATACTCGACAAACGAGCAAAGCGGCCCAATTAAATGCCACTGTTTGAAGCACGCAGACTGCGCACCAGCCGCAGACTCCAAAAGCGATCCACTGCCAACTTCAGTACATTCTGCCTTAAGTTACAGCTAAGAATTACCTTGGAAGGCGGAAAGACCCGGTAACCGATACAACCGGGAACCTGGAATAGAATGAGGCCAACGTAGAAGATCATGATCACCGTTTGCCACTGCGTCGAGGACAGTTCCTGGGTTCCTGGGCCAACACCGTTGTCTGGAGTGTCATGGCCTTTATCAATGCCCAACAATTTGGCATTCTGTTTTCGGTTAGTGAACGACAGTGAAGGCAAGAAGGCAGACATACTGCTATATTGCCTCTGTCCAAATACTCGAAGAAGTACAAGGCCGAGATTGTGGGCAAAACGATAAGGTTCAACTTCTTCATATATTTGCGTTCAGCATCACGAGCGTCTTCAGTGTCGAGGACATGCTGATGCTCTTGAATCTCGGTGTTTGCGTAATATTGCTCTTGTGCCTTCAGTTCCTGGGGAGTCTTGTCTGTAGACTTCCTAGCAGTGTCGATCCAAGCTTCACTTGCCTTCAATTCAGCCATAGCGGACTTCCAGAAGTGTAGAGAGAGCGCAACGTGGAGAAAGAATAATCGATCTCGTGAGATGCTCAGGGACCTACTGGTTCATATAGGTTGGAGTACAGGTGCTGTATCTCCTGAGGCCAGATCCGGAAACTGTCCGGGAACCTGGCCGGCCCCTCATCTTAGAGCTTGCAAGGTATGCTTGCATCCCCAGAAAGATCGACACAAGGGGAGATCCGTGAGGAGAACGGCGACTTACCGGACATACACGCGGAGGAAGACAGGTATATGGGCAGGGTCTGGCATGACTGATCTCCTGCTGCTTGGGCCCCCCCAAAATCAAATCTCTTAGTGACATGATTCTTGATGTAGGAAGGATTGTCTCCAAACATCACAAATCGTCTCAAAAAGGCCATTGTTCACAGTAGTACCCTCAATGGCAAGTTGCATTCAGGCACCGGGCACCAGCGTCCCCTCCACGGCAACGCCGTCTTCAAAAGCAAGGTTTCGATTGCCTCCTGGGTCGTGGGACTCTCATGTTCATGTGGTTGACGAGGTAAGCACCATTTTGCGCCACCAGATCTTGGCTTATCGACTGAAGGACGAATATCCCTTCGATCCTAATTACCCATACCGACCAAAAAAGGCGAGCCTGAACGAACTGCTGGCGTTCGAGAAGGAATTGGGCATTGATCATGTCTGTCTTATCTGCATGTCAGTGTATGGCACTGACAACCGCTCCATGATGGCTGCTCTCCGACAATTGAAGGGCCGAGCTCGAGCAATTGTATGTATCGATCCTGCCACCGTTACGGAACAGGAACTGCAAGAGATGCACCAATTGGGAGCTAGGGGTGTCCGAGTCAACCTGAAAACCCGCAATGAGCAGATATCCAAAGATATCTTGGCTGCAAGACTTCTTCAGTACGCGGACAAAATTCGTCACCATGGCTGGGTTATCCAGGTCTACCTTGCCCTTGACCAGATCCCTCTCATCGTAGACGTGATTCCGGAGCTGAACATTCCGCTGGTGATTGATCATATGGGGTCCCCCAATCAAAGCACACGGCCTTCTGATCAACCAGGATATGCAGAATTACTCAACCTGCTCGAACGCAAGCTTGTGTGGGTCAAAATTAGTGGGATATATCGCTTTCCCAACACGCCTGAGCTTGATGTGTATGGAAGGGAGATAATTCGGAAGGCTCCTACGCAAGTCGTCTGGGCAAGTGACTGGCCACACTCAGGAGGAGTAGAGAAAAACATCAACGGAAATCGTCATCTCTATCAAGATTATCGGAAGATTGACGATGCTGCATTTGTTGAGAAGTGTTTGGAATGGTGCGACTTCGACGAGAAAATAATTCAGTTGTTGTTCGTCGACAATCCGAGAAGACTGTGGAAGTATGGAATACAGCAATGAACGAGCCAGGTTTTGAAAATGGTCGAGTGTTCAGAGAATAACAATAGAGGCCCTAACTTCCACTTAGAGCTGCGTCAGTGAAGTATTGGTTTAAAACTTCTTCTGAAAAATCGATACAGTTCTCTGGGAAGGAGTCGAGCGTCGATATATGCTGCGGGTTGAAATCAGGACCCGGAAAGTCGACATTCGGTGGAGCATTTAGATTTTGGTCGTAGAACGGGAAGGCCGGCATTGGATGTGAGCCGAGGACCGCATGTGAGTCGGGGAGATCGTCCTCCAACATATCCAAATTACATGACGAGCCAATGCTAGCCATGATGATGTCCACGCTTCTTTGGATACCTGGACACGAGCTTTTGACGGCTGTAAGTGCACTAAGGTATGTTCGAGTTCTTTGGCTTGACCCTGCAAGACCTTCTCTCAAATCTTGTACCGCAATCGTAGCGGCAGTATACGTGCAATACGCCATAAGATAGGTGACCCGAGTAAAGCCAAAGGTATTTTTAAGCCTCAGCAAAAGTTTTTCAACCTGCTCAGAGGCTTTACGACATATTGTTCTACATGTCGCCGAGGATTGAAACGGACGATGCAGGAGAATGAGTGCTGTATGGTAGAGGAGACTAATTAATGGTCAGAATCGAATAGTTGGAGGCGAGAATAGGCAAATACTTCTGAGAAAGTACGTGTGGCGGTGGGCAAATGCCATTCTGGGCGTCTTCAGCGACCTTCAAGTGGGCCGGTGTTGCCGCGCGCCAGCTCGACAACCGAGCGCTCGCCTTTTGTATGAATTCCAGCACCGCATTCGACGCTTGCCGACCGTATACGTTAATTATTATGTCGGTCAGTATAACACCGAGTTGGCAAAAGTTCGTAAAGCAAGAGATTGTGCTGGCCGGAGTCGGTGAGAATCTGCTGGGTACCGGCTCACCGTCAAAGATTGGAATCCAGGGCTCGGTCTCGGCTGTATCATCAACTAGAAGGTGATGTTAGCGTTGGCCTTCAAGCAGGATTCTTCGTCCGTACGAAGTTGAGCTTGGACAGAGGGCGGATCTGGCAGAGCTGGCATTCGCCCGAGGTACAAGCTAATAGCTCTGCAAATGTCAGTAAGTCTTTGACTATTGGTCGAAAGATCAGTACTTGTCCCAAAGGAAGCAACTCCAAGCAAGACGAGTCTTCATCTCTTGCCCCTGAGTAGCGGCGATGGAGACGTCTGGCGGCTGAGACGGGAAGGCAAATAACCCAATATCTGTCGCCATTCGAAACGCCATGCCGCTCAATAGCCATGCTTGAGAGGTCATCCCCTTGCCGATTTCAAGAGCGCTGAGCTGCAAAAGTGCTTGGATTGTAGACATTGTGGGGGTATTGTGTATCTCCTGCCCAAGCAGGAGTCTAGCTCGGGACAGCAGCTGGCCACTCAACTCTTGGTCCGTGAACCTTGTTGAATGAGCACAGACGGCACTCAAGAGCAAAGGTGAGAAGTCAGAGCCCCCGGTTACCAAATTCTCTGGTGTTCGTCAGCCAAAATCCTCTACGGAAAGAATCCAAGCGTACTCATAAACGAAGGGCGATATACAAACATAAAGACAGGATGGACCCATGTCCAGTGAGTCTGGAGGAGTTGCTGGATCGTTTTTACAGGAAGATGAAGATGAATCGAAGCAATTTCAGCGGCAATATTCTCAAAACCCTGCCAATGCAAAGAGTCCCTCACTAGAGACTCCTTCCGTGTGCGGAGCGATACAGAGTCTTCGCTGCCAGCAGTTGTTGACGTAACATTCTCAGAGGGATTATCAACGGCCGATGTTGACGAATAGTAGTCTGACTATGATTCTGATTAGCAGTCCTGCCACTTGGCACGGGAAGTATATAGCGAGGTACTTTAGCCGCAGTCTTAAATGCCAAAGGCGATTCCACAGAGTCGCGTTTGCTGGATGTGGACATTGAGGAGTGTTGAGTATTGGTGGCTATTACACTAGACGGGTTTAACGGTGCTTTCCTCAGGATTGACTGGACCTGAGCATTGTCCACCTGCCGCAGCTCCTCAATGGCTTGTTCCAAACATTCATACCTCCTGGCCATCTCGAGTATGCGGCTCATAGGGGGGGCCGTGTCATACCGACACTCCTCTTTGTAGGCCAGACAGACCATGCATTGTGGCTGTTTGCCATCGCAGCGAGTTTTTCGCAGGCGGCAATTCGTGCAGGTGAGATGGTAGGGCCGCCTTCTTTTACCAGGAGGCTTGTCTGAAGCAATTGTTCTCTTGTTAGTCATTGTGCGTTCGCCGCGATATCTTGTTGAAGACGCATCAAGATTTAATCGTTTATTGGGGTGAGGAGTAAGTGTTGGAATGCCGAGGCGCTAAGTGAGCACTGACTTTCGCGCTGAGCACTGGCCGAGGGCTACATAAGGGGCTCTGTGGGACAGAGGGCGGTTATGATGGTATCGAGGCGGTATGGTATTGAGTATCTAAGAGAGAGAGTCTGTCTGACAGCTATGTATCCTGCACCTGAGAAAACTGAGTAATAGGCGCTACAGCGCTAATGGCTCATGTGCTCTCTACATAAGCTACCTCGCCTCCTACTAAGGCCCAACGCTTACCCCGAGCCCCGGCTGGTTTTTGCAGGGTATGAGGGCATGCTCTTGATACACAGAGGCATAAGCAGCGTGGAGCTCTCCAAACCAATCAATCTCTTGTATTGTTGGCACCGACGAATTTCGATACAAAACCGATTTGTGTCGACGGCAGCTCGGCGGTAGAGATTTGCCAACGTACAGCTTCGCTGAAATAAAAATCCAGCTAAGAGGCAGCTTCAAAGCTGAATTAGGCCACCTTCAGAATCACAGCCGGGCTCCTGACTGTAAATCAGACCCACACAATTTTCGAGGTTTATACCGTGAGCTTCGGCAGTATTCTTGATCGATCGGCTGCAAATTGCATCGGCCCAGACCCATAACGGTTGATCTGACAAGCGGACCGCAATGAGGGCCCCCCACAAGTTACCGCGGACGGCAAAAGGCTTGCCATCGATGTATATTGGATCTGTTTCGGCAGCTGGGGCCCAAGTATACGAAATTGCCTGCTAATCCGGACTGGCCGAAAGCGTCTCATGAGAAATACAACAGCGTATTGGTTTCGCATCCATATCTGGATTTAACTGCATCAACATGAAGGCGTCAGACGAGATGCCGAGCCGTGAATAGGAAGATGACATTCTTGAACTGTGCGCAAGACTAGCATATCTGGTTACTCTGCCGGCTCGAATTGTCCGATGGTGGCTTACAGTCATTCAAATGATCGTCAACTCTTGCAACACTGCCCGTACATCATGCCCAAACAAATCGGTATCGATCAGCACGCGACAAATTTTCTGATAGAATGGCTCTGCATGTTGATTGTTTGCATCGCCCTCAATCTCAATCGGCTTTAGAACAAGTGCAAGGTATCCTCGCTCCAATGGATGCTGTATGCGCCATAGCGCCCTGCGTGCTTTTTCTTTGCCAGTATGATTAAACTCGACGACTAGAGCAATAGTGAGCTGAGGTCCATCGGGCGCATATCCAACGCCATGTGTCGGAGGCACATCATGTGTAAAGGTCTCGGAGTAGTTGTTTTGGTCAAAGACTATCTTTGTGCTGCCAAGTTGCGCGTAGGGTCAAAGTTTCTCAGCGGCCGTTTGTCGTAATGTATTGTTGCCGCCAGGGTCTTCGCTTGGTCGGCGTGGCGTCGTCCAATGTGAGGAAAACCACAGGACCACTTGGGCCATAGCGTCTTCCCATATTCCAGCCACGCATCTCCAAGTCCCAGGCAAATGAATCTGGCCTGCAACACCGGATATAGCAGGCAGTCGATCACTATCGAAAGCAAGCGAGCTGGCGGCGTATACCTGCACGATATCAAGCTATTGCTTGTATCTTTGGTGAACATCATTCTTGGTCAACACTATGGCCTGTCCATGCTTCAATTCGCCGGTTTTGGTGATCTACTGATAATTTTGCATGATTCTTCCGTACACGCCTTGGCATTCACACCAGAGGCGCTCTTTGCACTCCCACACGAGCTCGTCTTGGGTATAATGAAGAATTCCGGTAGCTACTATGCGCTCCTGCAACACCCAGACCCGCTGGAAAAAAAGGTAGGAGAGCGAAGTCCAGGTCGATCAATAAGAATGGCAGATGGCCGATCGGTTTCTTCGCAATCATGCTGACCTATCTGCCGTCCACACGAGTCCAAGTCACTTTCCCACAGGTGTTCCTGGCGGAGAAGTATCCCTTGTCACCGGTCTTTGAGCGTGAGGCTGCTATTACAACATCAGCGTTTTCATAGCTGTTGGCCATTCGTGACGCTTCAACCACCTGATCTTCCTAGATAATACAGAGCGAGTCGATTCAGATAGCTGTATGACATAATCGCCTCGCAATGACAATTGCGTCCTGTTGACGGGGCCGCACGATAGCCACCTGAGACGCTAGCTGTCTCATGAACTGCGCCACCTACCTCAACACCGCTGTTCTCGCCGTTCTGTAATGACATGACGACGAATAGGAGGTTTCAGGAATGGCCTTCAAATCACAGGCCAAACTGTATATAAACAGACAGAGTCTCTCTGAATAGACAGACAGACAAGACACAATCAAGCAGATAGATCTACTCTCATTCTGTGTGCAACACGTCCTGAAAGGTCCGGATGGGCTCATCGCATGATATACTCTGCAGGCGAACGCTGATGTTGGCACTAGGTGTCTTGGGAATCGGATTGAGTCGCGCCTCTTTCGGTCCCCAGAATGGCTGAGTGCAGTAGGGTAGTTGAATTGATTGCAATCTGAAACTTGGCGCATTCTGAGATGCTGGTTGTCAATCCCTAGTTCCGCCAGTCTTGTTGGCAACGACTTGACATGTTATTTCAAATTGCAGAGCTGATGCTTGTCTTGGAAGTCTCAGATCCAACTCTCAACGACGGCGAATATAGTATCTGAGGCAGAATGCTCTGGGACCTCTCCATCTTGCGTAAACTTGGAGAAGGGGTTGCGGCCGCCTGAATTAATGTTAGCAGCGGATTGTTGTCAAAAGGCTTTGGAGCTCACTGATATGACCAGAAAGGTCTAGATGAAGTGTAAATTCCTTGGCCAGTGTGAGGGGCTCATACAGGATATCACCGGTGTCAATGCTGATCGTGAATTCGTCGTCCGCCGAAACCTCAATCTGTGATAAAGATATGTAGGACATCACCCTCTCCAGGGAGAATGCCAAGGTTGATACTGTCTTCGTTGATGAGTCCGTCCTCTTTCAGCAGGGCTTGCTCCGCCCAATCATCCCTGAACTCCTCAATTCCACCCAGGATTAATGTACATCTAAGACAGCCAGCAGCAGTAAGAAGTAAGTTGCTCAATGAGACGATTATGGGAAACCTCAGTATAACATTCCCATCAACATAGAAATTGAGGCATGACGTGCAAGGAGTGAAGGGATCCGTTAGAGGGCTAGGATGTCCCAATATGGCAATGGTTGTCATTCAACGTGGCGATGCACAGCGGGTCGCTGATGGAATGAATTCGTTAGATAGCCAGCTAGTTGCCGCTTCAGTCTGAACGAAGCTAACGGGACTGTCTCTGTACCATCTTTCTGGAGTGGCGGCGAGGTGCGTGCCAGCGTTTAAAAAGGCGACAGGTTCCCGCAGTGCCAATCGCATTCCAGCCTAGCCTAATTAGGCTAGAAACCTGGGAAGCTTATGCAAGCTCAGCCTCACGAGGCGGCGAAATGCGGATGAGGCACGGCCTCCCCACCAGCTCCCACGCAAAATTGTACAGGTAATATTCTTCTCACGACTCCAGTCTCGGCCTTTTCTTTGATCTAGCTGGTTTACTCAACGGTGAACGTTATGTATGACACCTCGTTTCTCCCTGAGCCCAAGCCTCCAAAGTTTGCAAAACTTGCTTCACGTCAACTGTTTGTCCCCATCAGAAAATTTCACGCAAGCGACATGATTCGGTTGTTAGAAGTCTGCCCTTCCAACCATAGTTTTCCACGAGATGTCGTATGCAGATTGCTCTATTTCAGACTCTCCGAGAACCCGATCTTCGAGGCATTGTCCTATTGTTGGGGCACTAGCGAGAAAGAATATTTCATCTACTGCGATGGACTTCGCTATTGGGTTACCGAATCACTTCTAAAGTTCCTCCTTCGTTATCGAGACAGCCGAGAATCGCAGTTGTTATGGGTTGATCAGATTTGCATCAACCAAGATGATCCAGTGGAAAAGTCGTTACAATTACGAATGATGGGGGACATCTACCGACAGGCAGAGCAAGTCATCATTTGGCTCGGCGATTTCCCCGGAACCTGGATTGGAACCCCTGAGGAAGCGCTGATAAAGGATCTCGCAAGGCTGCGGCACACGCCTTTATACGGAGAGCTAGTTGCTCTTTTGCGCCAATTAGAGATCTTAAAGCTGTTTAAAAGGCTATCCAAGATACAGTACGAGTCGGCGGCGCAGCTGGGAAACCTTGAAACCATAGGAACAATCATGACGAGTCCTTGGTTTACGCGAACATGGATTGTTCAAGAAATCAACGCCGCCAGAAGGGCAACTGTTTATATTGGCAATATCAGAGTGGATTGGGCTACCTTTTTGGACGCCATAACATTCGTTGTGAATACCGGGATGAGATTTGCGTTGGCCAACAAGAACCTGGGACCAGCAATGAGACTGGTATCGATTTGTCTTACGTTGGCTGCAGATCGCGACTTGCCAATGCTTAGATGTCTCTTGTATGCAAGGCGCCTCAAAGCAAGCCTTGCCCAAGACAAGGTTTTAGGTCTGTGCCATTTATCCACCGATTTTGAACGGCTTGGGATCGACCCCAACTGCAGCTTGGATGCGAAACAGGTTTATCGAAACGTAGTGGAAGCACTGCTACGGAAGGATAACACCCTTGAGTTCCTCTCCGTTCCTCGGCCTCGATATTCAACTAGTACAGCTGGTCTGCCAAGCTGGGTGCCCGACTGGAGGACGGGTTCAAGCATCGTCATCCCTTTAGCGTTTGACATTCCCGGATTTGCTCCGAACTACCAAGCCAGCCAAGGGACAAGGGCATCTTTGCACCCGGGAATTGACGACTGGGTACTAACCATTGAAGGTATGCAGTTCGACACGTTATCTATTCTAAGTCGCGCTTATCCCTCCGAGCCGCATGCAAACTATATTGAAGATGTTGTCGTAGCATCGGAGAGAACAGCGGACGATATGCTGGCAGAGCTAGACACTCTTCTCGAATGGGCAAAGATGACAAAGTCGGCGGCTAAATTAGAACCACGTAACGAGTCTCGTGGGGCCCTATTATTAAAAACGATTACTGCTGGCCAGCTATCAGCTGATTTAGACGCTTGCCACCGCACGTTCAGATACCTTGTGGGAAGATACAGACTGAGATTGAAGTTATTGTCGCTACTGGAAACCAAAACGCCGATCATTGGACGAGCCTGTAGAGCCGTTGAGAGGTCTTCTCGATGGCTGGGTTCTGCACCATCTTTCGAAGTTCTTTTGAGATCTTTAACTGTGTGTGTGGGCAGGACACTCGGTATCACCAGCCATGGTTACCTGTGCCTCGTGCCTGCAGACACCGAGATGAGTGACTGTATCTTCCTAGCCAAAGGTAGCAAAACACCCTTAGTGTTACGGAAAGAAGCGAAGCCTGGACTTTGGAGTTTTGTGGGTGATTGCTACGTTCATGGCATTATGGCTGGAGAAGCATTTGATCAAGACCAGTGCCGGATAATTCACATTGTATAGAGAGTGAACAGGTTAAGAAAGATAAATATTTGGAGAGGGATATTTCAACTCATGTAAGAGAAGGCGGCAAGTATACCAACTGTTGTGGGTAATTGTCAATTCTGGTGACATTCCTATGTACAACATGTGTCAATTCATGCATATTCAGTCCGCGCGCTTGAACGTGAGCACAAAATGCGACAATATTAGCGTGTCCAGCTTTGCGGAAGGTTCTATCAGGATGCAGGTGGCACGTCGAAAACCGGACTACTTCAACTTGCCTGGGATGCGAAATTATGGCGTAAGGGCGGATGTCGTGATCGTTGAACTCTCCAAGGGGAAGTATGGACTCCTTCTTTATTTTAACGAGGCATCTGTTGAGAGGGGATGACATTCCTTGACTTCAGCTCATAGGCTGATGCGGCGACGTCTGCTGGTCTTCAGAACATCTGTTTGTCGGAGTCATAAAGGGGGTGCTTAGTCATTGAGGAAACAAGGCTCGACGTTGGGCGAAAAGACGGCCAAGCGACCAAGACGAATCTCGAGTCACGCCGGGCGCACTAGTTGGTGTCCCTCTTGTATTCGACTGAAGCTATCGGGCGTATGAGGGAGTATCATACAGTCAGCCGTTCCCCCAGAGGTTTTCGATTTCATGCATGTCACCCAATTGAGTTCATATAGCCCACATCAAATTGTGGAAGGCCATTGTGCAACGGTAACACAGGATTCAACGCTTGTGCGCTACCGCCATAACAGCCGGTGAATGAACCCTCGAAGGCATCTCCAGGGAGGCCGAACCAGGTCCGAGTAGCTCACCCACAGTATCGAAGCTCAGAGGGCCGTCCCAGAATGGCAATGCGTCGGTTGTAGTATTGCTCATCAAGGGCCAGCCCTCCAGGGAGGAGTCAAGAACAGGGGTGTCGATATGTTTTTGCAATCGGTTATGGTAATCTGCATTTGGTCGGGTGTCGCAGTCATTCACTACTTGGTCAAGGTCCTGGCCTAATCTTGGAACGGTATTGAGATTGCAGCGCTTGGACTCCTGAAGAATTCGCTGCGCGCGTTCGAAAAGTCTGTACATAACCCCGGCGCTCCAGTACGTCTCCCGGAGCTTTGACAGGATAAGCATACATAGTTGGAGGCGATTGCCCGCGAGACCGCTAATGAGAGGTTCAACAGACTTGTAATCGAAAAGGTGAATTTGCATTGAGGGATCTATGGCGGTAATTCTGGATCCAGTGGATGAGACGTTAGCATCGGGAACATCAGTGGCACATCCCGAAAACGGGACCACTCACATCATTGATTTCAAAAACTGGATAGCATCGATTTCAATCAGCTTCTCTAGAATATTGTTCGTGTTTGAAGCGGCTGCTCTTGCTTTCGCTAAAGCCGTCTTGTGCCACAGAAGTGGAGCAGTAGCAGGAACAGCTGCAAGACCGCCAAAGACATATGGGCGATGGAGGACAGTAACTGTGGCTCTGGGATATTGTTTGCATCTAGTGTCCTGGACTTGTTCGAAGAAGGGAGACTTACTGGTAGAACAACTCGACTTGATAAGCATGCATGCGGAGCGAGTAATTGGAGACATCTGACAATTGGCCTTGTCGAGCGCATTCCTGCAACTCTTCTACAAGATTATCGACATTTTCAAGGCTCGGCCGAGGGCCCCTGGCACGATAATGGGCACGCAGAATGTGTCCTAGAGCATGACTAGTTTGCACGAAGCGAACCCACATCGCTGCTAGTGCGTCGTACTCTGCGGGAATGAACCTCTGGCGATGCTCACTTGAAACCTGCTCCAGATCAAAGAGAATACCGCCAGCACGAGGCATCGGCACATCACAATCCTCGCGATGAATTCGCATCGGACGGCCCTTTGCCAACGACACCCATCAGTCTCTAGCAAAGCAAGTCCACCAGAGGCGTCGTGCGTGTCTGACGAAAGATTCGGACACGCCTGGTCCACGGGGAATTGACCGGGGGTCCCGATGAAGACGTTGATTTTGGCATAGAGATATGGCAACACCAGTCCAATGCCATGCTCCAGTATGGTCTTGTAGATCAGTGTACCAGAATCCCATTAGGATTACGGATTGAATAAGGATAAGTTTATCAGTTCCTCGGTCGAAATCGTAGAGACACTGGGGTAGGACGGTTAGTTGATTCCACAACACGAGGGGCTTTGGCAGACCTTAGCCCGCTCATACATCGCCGTTTTCATGGCACGCCGGATTAATACCCTGCCTTTTGTAACAGGTCGGAGCTCACAAACTTGAGGGATCTCAGTAATGTCTTAGATACGAGAAGAAGGCTTCCTGACATTGGCGGTGGCTAAAATCATACTCCAAAATAAAAGGGGGCTGATGTTCTTGCGTTCATTTGTATACTTGGCCAAGAAAGTGCCGGCATCTACGACGGGAATGAAGAAATGGACATGTTCAAAATAGCAGCGGATAGCTTTGTCTGCAACGTCGTTTGGAAGCGTGTCGAAAACACCTTTGCGGCGCATACATTAAATTTCGCAAGGTTCCTTAGGTATTCTGTTTGAGTCCTGTGGAATATGTGGTCGAGCATCTTGGGCTTGAGTTGGATGGCAGATGTCGTAGACGGCAAGACGAGGCCCACGCCTGTCGCCTAAAGCATACAAATTAGCATGTGGTTCGCCAGGTCCTTGCTTCACTAGGTAACCCAACCGATGTATGAAAGCGAGGAATCGTCAGGCAACATGACATCGACATTCTCATCAGGCGTGGGAGGAGTTCGCATAGCAGCAACCGATCCTTCGGCTGCACCATTAGATGGCGCCGCAGGACTGCATTGATTGGGAGAACTCGGATTGATGGCTATCTGCTCAGGGTGGTGCTGAGTGTTCGAGCGTGCTGGATCCAGAACGCGTCGTGATCCACGGGGGCGATGCTTCTTACGTGGAAGCACCTCACACTTTGCCGTTGGCCCATCATGCTTGCAGTTGGAGCACGGAGGACCTGTGCTTGTCACGTCGCAGCGGACTTTGCGACGATTGCAGGGCTGGCAGGCTGCCCGTGAACGCGGTCGCACCGTACCATTCGGCTGGCTGGTTTCCTGCATGTAGACACCGACGGCCTTGATGCCATGTGAGATAGAGAATGAGTTTGCCGCGGGTAGAAGACGAGAGGAACTACTCAGGCTATTAAAGGGAGGGACATGAGGTGGAAGATTTCTCATGTCCCGGTTAATATTTGAAAGAGCGAGGAAGTAGCTGCGGATAACTGGTTCAAACAAAAACAGGCGCAGTCTGACAAAAAGCCTTCCTGGCTGGCAATATTTCATACCGCAAGATTACTAGTCCTAACAAGACCTCTTCTGCAGAATCCACAAATAATACAAGTCATTTCTTTCGAGTTACCCCGGGTAACTGAGGTAAACATCCTCCTCACAAATGACCCGGGAGAAAAATCCATTCTTCATGACCCGAATTCCCGGCGACTGGCCTCCGCTTTCAACTCTCAAGAACCCGGCACCACGTCCCTCTTCCCCCGATTTCCACATACCCTTATTAACAGATAGGAAGGCTTCCTTGACCTTGCTTGATTTGTTTGAATTGGTGTTGAGTTATGCGGTTGATGTGCTGTGGAATTTACCGAAGGCCGCTTGAGCGGCTTGTGACACACCAGAAGAGAAAGGATAAAAACTTCGCATATCGTCGCGGTCAACACTCTCCCTGACCTCCAAGCATTGGACTTAGATAGCCATTGACCACCATGGGCGAAGAGGACTACAGCGGACGCCCTGCAAATGACGAGGCCATGAAAGAGAACATAGCCATCGAGGCCGAGCGTGTTGGTGATATGGACACCACCAAGACGGAAGGCGACGACTTTGCGCCTGACGAAGGGAAGCGCCTAGTTCGGAAGCCGGATTTCTGGTATGAGATGAAGTTGTCTTCAATGTCTATGAATAACACCAAAGAGATGTCCCCAGGCTCCTACCTCTCATGATGATGACCTATATGCTTCAAAGCTACGACAAAGGCATTATGAGCGCAGCAACCCAATTCAACTTCAATAGCGACCTCGAACTCACCACAATCGTCGGATACCAAGCCGGCGGCAAACCCATCACCAACAATCAAAAGTACTTAAATGCTGCCATGATGATTTATATTGGCTATTTGGTCGGAACCTATCCCATGATCTACTTGTCTCAACATTATCCCACCTCGAAAGTCCTTTCTCTGGCTACCTTTCTCTGGGGTGCAGTGGTTATGTCGACAGCGGGCTGCTCAAACCATGCGGGTATCATGCTCAATCGGTTCTTCCTGGGTTTCCTGAAATCTACGGTGGCTCCGGCCTTTACCGGTTTTGTTACTTTCTGGTGGATTCGCGAGGAATAAGCCCTTCGAACCGGCCTCTGGTACAGTTGCGTGAGTGTTGCCACAACCATCTCGCCCTTGATAATTACGGCCTAGGCCAGATCAACACCTCGATGCCTCATTGGAAACCTATGTTTCTGATCTTGGGGGCTGTGACGCTAGTCTGGTCCATTGTTCTCTTCTTTGCTCTGCCAGACAGTCCTTTAACCACCAAGCGGCTGACTGAGTCGGAAAGGAGGATTGTCGTCTGCCGACTGGAACGAAACAACGCCGGCACCATTAGTCGCAAATTCAACAAAGGCCAGTTCCTTGAGGCATTTCGCGACTACAAGCTATACAGCTGTACTCTCATTATCCTCCTTACTGGGGTCCCGTCAGGGGCCCTGGGTACGTTTGGGACAGTGGTGATCAATGGGTTTGGCTTCGACCATTTTGACTCGTTGGCCTTGACCTGTCCCATTGGCGCCGTCACCGCGACCAGCATTCTCTTTGTGGGCTATGTTATGCGCAAATGGAACAGCCTTCGGTACCTGTCCATTGTAACATGTGCTCTCATCTCCATTGCTGGAACGTTTATTTGCTGGCTTGTGCCGCGAGATAATCGTGGCTTGTTGTTTGCAGCCGTCTTCCTCATTGCGGTTCAAGTCTCTGCCGGAGGAGTAGCAGTTTCTCTTGCTGCATCAAATATCGCAGGACACACGAGTGAGTTCTACAATCTACACTTTCTGTTTATCAGGTCTGACATCGGATGGAAAAGGCTACCGTCAGTGCAACAACGTTCATCGGTTACTGCGTGGGGAACGTGATAGGGCCCGAGATTTTCGGTGCCTCACCTGGCCCTGTTTACCATGCAGGCTTCATGGAAGTTGTATTTGCTTGTGCTGTGTGGTGGTTACCGCGACTGTCACTTACGTCCTTCTTCGTATGGAGAATGCGAAGAGAGAGAGAAATCATGGTGGACGAGGTGGCCAGCATGACATCGAAGAGGATTTATCGGACATGAAGAACGAAGAGTTTTGATATGTACTGTAGGTGGCTAGCGGCCATTGTCAAATTCCCGACTCTGTTATCAGTGAGCCGACAGCCACTCTGCAAAAACATTCAATCGACTCTTCACATTTCGTTATTTGGGCATTATCATCTTCCCCTTCAACCCGTTTTTTCTTTTTACCGTGTTGCCATCTAATTCACTGCCTTTGGGTCCCTGACTTGATAGAAGCCGCGATGAGCAATCTCCGAGATGGCAGCCGAATGCGTGCTGGACCCTTCCAACAACTGCACCTTGAAGGCTCGTCTTGTGCTAATTTTTGCCCTGTGAGCATTAGACAGCAATATTTCCAGGGTATGCTTCTCAATCTAGTCTGTTGTGGAGGTAGAAAGGGAGAGGCTGTGGAGATGAGTGCTGCTATATCGACGCCATTGGGATGGCCATCTTAGGTATGAAAGCAGACCACAAAGTCACTTAAAAGAGTCTTCAATCGAACTTTATCTGCTATTCTTTTCTGCTCCGTTTGCATCTGTTTATTTCCGCCAACACATTGTCCAAGTTTCGAGAACTCCAAATCGACTGGAATGGCGTTGAGCAATTACTTAGTGCGAGTGTGTTTGTGCACCTTCACCATCAACACTCTGACATCTTGGGCATCATCCATCGCTTCCCGAACCAACGTGAACCGTCAGCTTCTCGGTTGCGGAAAAGATCTTCCTGGCGGGCAGAATGTTGGAGAGGTCTCAAACGTGACGATAACAAGTGATGGGAATAACCGCAGCTATCTCATCTTCATCCCGCCAGCCTCCTGCAAAGACACTCCGACGTCAGCAATTGTGTCTTACTACGGAGGCGCACGGACAGCAGAAGACCAGCTAGATTTAGATCTCCCGACAAGCCCGGAATTCAACACTAAGTCGTTCGTGGTATATCCCCAAGGATCAATGTAAGGACCTTTTCTCCCTATGTTTAGCTTGTCGCAATGAGCCAGGTTGAGACATCTGCAGAATACTTGGCAAGGAGTGCCCGGGGTAACAATGAATGATCTCAAATTCACCACGGACATCCTCAACGAGATCGAAAGCCTGTATTGCATTGACCCATCTCGGATTTATACGACTGGGAAGTCAGATGGTGCGGGTTTCTGTAACCTGTTAGCCTGCGACCCAGATCTCTCGACTGCTTTGGCCGCATTTGCTCCTGTTTCTGGAGCGTACTTTGTTGACTCCTTACCCTGCATGCCTACGATGGTGGACCTACCATGTTCCCCAGGAAGGTCTCAGATTCCGGTCCTCGCTTTTCACGGCGGCAACGACACGGCTATCCCATACACGGGGAAAGAGCGCAAAGGTGAGTGTCTTCCGAGCATTCCCCACTTCATTCAGGAATGGGCGCTGCGGGAAGGACTCGGGACGACGAACATAACGACACCGGTGGCCAACGACACTGTCAAGTACACCTATGGAATGGGACATGACGCAGGCTTTGTTGCTTTCATCTTCGACTCGGATATCGGCCACGACTGGCCTAGCACAGCACCAAATGGCGACAACCAGCACGCAGGTCATCATCCGGCCAGCTCTAATGCTACGCCGATCATCTTGGATTTTTTCCAACATCACCGATTGATCTGAAATTTTAGGCATTAGCAGGCAAGGCTTAGTAGGAAGGAAAGATAGCGAAGATTAAGCTTGAGATGGAGAGAAAATCCCCTGCCCCTGAACTGGGCGGCATTTGCGTAATATGTGAACAATCCCCTTTTAGGAGATAACGTACACACTTTGAGAGCAGCTCAACCACCCCAAGGCTTCCAGTGTCCCCCGCTGAGGGCCCTAGCCATTCTCCTCGCCTTCGTCGAGCGAACTCTAACTTCGGCAGCAACTTCGTCCCACAGCAACTTCACATAATGTGACCATTAGAGTCTAGCGCCACCAAAATTAGATGACGTCGACATGGTTTTATAAAGTCATGTCTATTCTCGCCGCTCTCTCTGTTCCCGACCTCGCTGCCTCCTCTTTGTATAATATCCCTTGGTGTTTTGATATACCTCTCACATCTCCCAGGCGCTATATAGATCATCTGTTTCTATCTCTTCGCCGTTATCCTATATCTAAGGAAGAAGACCTTGTCCCCGTGACTCAACTAGTTCAACAGTTCGTTTGCGGGCTCGTTTACCTCTTCAAGTTCTAGTGGCGCTTTTGACGGTGGCGGAAGGTCACGGACTAGTTTGGAAGAGCCCTTAGGCGAATGATCGCGGCGAGGTCAAGGTCAGATATCTGGAAGATTATGTACAGGATTCGTACGAAGGGTGACTAGCAGAAACGAACGCTAGCTAAATGTAGTAGTTGGCAGTTTCTGGCCAGCGTTAATGAAGTTGCTGTCGAAGTTGCTGTCCGGATAGGATAACTTCGTCGATCCTGTCTATCTTGAGAGACCTTTCCTACACCTACATCACTGACAAATCAGGAAGCCCTCTTGGTCCAATTTCCACCCGTTCCTTCAATTCCGCGTCGGGCACTCCATCCTTGATCTTCTGAATCAGTTCCTCCGCATCGAAATCTGTGCCAATCGGGTTCTCGGCGAAATATTGGCTATTCATAAAGTCGTTGGCGGCCTTGACGGTGTCAAAGTTGTCAACCTGCGTCTCGAGCATGTTGCCATCAGGGTCTTTGTAGTAGATGGACGTCGTAGGCCCATGGTTGACGCACCAAACAGGCGAAACTCCGCGGGCTTTACGTTGCCGATAAGCTAGAAGCAGTGCGGAAAGCGTTGGGAAGGCGAAAGCAATGTGCTCCAGTCCAGAACTAGTATACGATTTAGGTCCCGTGTCTGGCAGAGCAATAATAGCGATACGATGGTGTTCGTCGTCGTATGTGATGAAGGAGATGAATTCGTTCCCGTAAGTGACTGTCCCTCCCAAGAAGTCCAGATAGAAGTCGACCATTTTCTTGAAATTGCCGGTGCGGAGGACGACATGCGCCAGAGTCGACGGACTAAGCACCTTAGTGCCCTTGTTGTCGAAGTCGATCTCTTGGAGGGAGCCCATGATTAAGTCGTATGTGTTCTCTTATTCGGGCTTTTACTTTTAGGAGAGTGAACGTGTCCTGCTCAGTAGGATTATGTGCGGGGCCTTGGATATAGTTGAACGCCGTAATCCCAGTACAATTGGGCTCCTGCCTTTCGAGCGCTATATCATCGATTGGGTCTTCTGCGAGATTTACATGGAAAGACCGGTCCGAAGCTTGAGGGATCTCTCGGACGAAGGGCCGAGAGCAATTAGCTAGTTCTCGGGCACCTTTCGGACAAGGGTGACACGTGAAATCAGGCATCTTCTAGCACACTCCAGGTGTTCGCCACTGCCAACCTTCTCTGAAAAGCCCTCAACCGCGCAGGGCACCTGTGAAGTCCTACGTAACAAAGGAAACCGTCTCGCCCGACCCGGTCGCCCACAGTTACAGCGTTAAAGGAGTCATTAGCCATTTTTACGGGCTGGCAGACAGCAAAGAAGTCGAGGTGGGACCAAACATGGCAAGCCAGACTTACACCCCGAACACAAAATTCATAGTAAGTAAGACGATTTTCATGAAAAGGAGGTAAGAAAAACGCCTGTGACATCCCAGAGCGCCGAAACGGGAACTATGCCAACTATAACCATTCCAGAGATCTTTCGTTGCAGGGATAATGCCTGGGGATAAATCACCGCTCGTGAACATACAGATTCGCAAGGTCTTTGTCCATGACAATGAAGGCCGGATCTGTCTCTGCTGGGTGCTGTCAAGATGGACCTTGCAAACAGGAAAGTCGCGGAGGCGGATTTCAGTGCGGATACTGCTGTCGATGCTCACAGCGCGGCTACGAAGAGTCCTCGACTGGAGCTCATGCAGGTATTTGCCGTAAGTCGTGCTCGGTATTCGACACCAGATTACCTGGGAGACGTGTCTAAATGAGAAACAGGAGAGTGAAAATGCTGGGAAATGAGCCTGACGAGTATGAGCGTCATAGGTACTAGGATGAATTAATGACACTTAGCATATCAAGGAGTGATCTACGTCGAATACCGTATCGAGTCAAGGGCTGAAGCTGAGGTCTCTCAATTCTTCTCACTAGGCTTCCAAGCTCCAAATACCATCCCTTCTGGAACCTTCTTCCATTGTCCCGTTTCTGGGTGTAGCAATTCTTCGGCATCCTTGACAGCTTGACGGATGACTGACGTCCTCTCAGGGCTTTTTGGCACGATATCAATAGGATACTGACGTGGATGGACCGTTATCCCTCCAACTAGATCATTGATATCCGGAGTGATCGGCTCGCCGGCTTTGTCCAGAGCTTTACGAAGATGGAAGCCCCACAGGATTCGAGACATTCCGAGGTAGAGAGACCTCTCAGCAATATGAACGCCTTGGCACAACCGACGGCCGGCGCCAAAGTTGAAGTTATCTCGTTTCAGTGGCTCACCGTTGGCAGACTCGTAAAGCGTTGTGTTGTCTCCGACGTACCTTTCCGGGTTGAACCGGCGAGGCTCGGGAGATCGGTTGGGATCCATGTGAATGCCCCTAAGGAATGCTTGTTAGTAAGTGAACCATACTCGAAAGGAAACATTTTGACGTACCAAACGTTGTTGATGATAGTCGATCCCTTCGGAATCTTCCAACCGTTGTAGGTATCATCTTTCGTGACACTGTGTGGAACGCCCATAATAACGGTAGGCATCCATCGAAGCGTCTCTTTAACACAACAACGGATGTAAGGTAGTTTGGAGTAGTCGTCCACATTTGGCAGGCGGTCGGGCCCGACTACATGGTCGATTTCTTCCTGCGCCTTCTTCTGTACGTCTTGAAAGACTATCATGGCCAACATGAAGGCGTACATTGTCGAAGACGTGGTGTCGGAGCCCCCTTCGAGCAAAGATCCCACTATGTAGCCGACAGCCTCATCTGACAGATTCTCGCTCTGTTGAGCAAGCAGAAGATCGTTACAGATACATGGCTAAACTGGTTAGCCTTCTCTTCACAGTGCTTACACCGTAGGTAGTACGCCATGGCAACAGGCTTACTCACCAGGCCAGTTCCATCTTTGAGCTGTTGCTTGGCCTTCAACCAGTGTTCAGTGTAGAGCTCTCGCCCAACCTGGTGTACATGCCGGCCCTTGCGAACACTGGGAAGCATGAAGCTGGGTAGTTTCTGGAGAATTGGATACAAATCGGCCAGTTGAGAGGAAGCACTTTCCGAAACCTCACTCCATCCATTTACCACCTGTGAGACCGGCGCGTGTTAGACCGAAGATGAGAGCGAACTGAAGGTGAGGCACATACGTAGAAAAGTTGTGCCAGTCTTTCGTCACGGAAATCCGGGCAACGGTACCCGAAGATCATCTGAGTGGAGAGCGAGTAGGTAAATCTCCTCAAGTGTTTGAACAGATCCTCGGATCCGGGCGCATCCAGAAGTCCCTTGAGAAGGACCTTGTTCTCGAGGTCCTGGTAGGGAATGTACTTTGCAGCCACCTTGATGTTCAGAATATTGTGGATCAGTCGGTGAATGGTCCGCCATCTTTCACCGTATCTCTGGTTTACATTAGCACTCAAGCTGGACGACTTAACTGGATAGTCGTAGGAACAGCACTCGCCATGACTACCAATCTATGGCCTCCGCTGGCCACATCTTGACTAATATACAGGTCGGGGCGGTCAGAGTAAATGCCGCCACGTTTGTCCAATAGTTCTTTGATGGCGATGTCGGACGACAGAACAATAGTAGGTTTTGTGCCCATCATCAGGGAATAGACTGGCCTGTCTCAATGTCAGAAGGTCTGAAAGGAAGAAAGCAAGAATGCATGCTATACCCATATTCTTCGGCCCACTTTTGGAACTGCAGATACGTCTTCTTGGAAGGTACCTGCCCAGCAGTTAGTGTTCACGAACAATATCTTCCAAGAAACCTCACTACCTGGTGAAGATTTCCCAAAATTGGGAGAGTAGGAGGGCCTGGAGGGAGATCTTTCGGTCTCCGGCCTACGTGGGACAGCTTCCATAGTACGAATGCTAGTCCTAGAACAATGAGAATCCCGATGTATTTCGCAAGAAAGCCCGACGACTCCATGTTTGCTTGATACGTCGAGGAAGAGGAGAGTCAAGCCGTTGATAGTCTTGCACGGGGGTGTGCATGTTACTGGGGATCATTTATAGCTTCTATAACTATGCTCCACCATGCCAGTCAAGCGTGGCCGTGGTATAATGCTCCACCCTGGTAGGCCATTCATGGATCGCCTGGGGTTGTGGAGGGGGTCTGGGGTTTCTACCACCCCAGACGCGTGTGGTTGACGACCCAAGGACGCCCAGACGAGACTATAGATGGTCCCATGCCGGCTGGCGGGAGGCGTGGATGATCGTCCGGGCTTGGTGACCGAGACTCCGAGCGTTCGGAGTCGGGCAACGCAGCGGATGGTGTTGATTGGTTGAAGACTCCTTGGTTCCTGGGTCCCTGGAACTTGGCGTCAACTCTTCACCTACACCCAACTTAATTGTTACTGTAATTCGTGAATGTGGGAGGGGCTTACTGATGCTCGGTACAACAGTCTCTTCGCTCATGGCATCTGGCCCAAGATCTTCATTCTGGCCCACACGGAGAGGTCTCGCCGAAGCCGGCAGAGCTACCATAGACTGTGGCGCCAGAGCTTCACTGGGTCCTCTGGCAAAGCTGAACTCTTCAATCTAGAAATTCGCTACGCCGATTATCATCTTGGACATACAGAAGTTACAGGATCAAAGCGCATCACCATTGCTAACTCCGCATTTGCGCTGAGCCACAGCTACCCGAGACAACTACACCTTCGAAAACGGATCTTTTATTTAAGCCCTGATGCCTGATCTGTTCGTAATCTTCTTTCGAATCTGGGACGACCCAGGCACGACTGATGATTTTCTATGCTTCTTCGCTGCCGATGCTCACCTTGTCTTCAGCCCATCTGTACGTGCAAAAAGCCAGAGTGTAATTCAACAATATAGTGACAACATGATCCATTCTGAAGTCGGGCCAGCCGTGGCTCTCTAACATACAGTGAACTGCCGGTCTCCTATAGATGCCACAGCCGAGGGAGAGGAAAAGGAGGTCCTCATCACTGGCAATATCTGGTATAAGCGGAGGAGTGGCCAGAAAGTGGGTGGAAACTTCGCCTGCATGGTGTTGCTCAAGGAGCATGAGCAACGAAGACCCGAGGCAACATTCCATGAAGTATATATCGATACACTCGAGCTGATGAATGACCTGACTGAGCTAGAGAAAGACGGAAAATAAGCATGTCGATTTCATTTATGCTTTGTGCTACCGCAGATCGACGTAAAGTGCTCCGCCTACATTTGAAAAGCTCCCATCTTATCAAACTTGAAATCATCCACCTGGGTCGTCAGCTCGTTCGTAGCTGTGAATGTGGATTTGGGTGCCACAGCAATAGCAGCTGTTTTTTCTCTCTTGCAGGACTTAGCCCTTCCTGTGACAATCTGTAACACCTTCTTTGCCTCTTCTGCGTTATTTATTTTGTCCCCTCTCCATGCGACGTGCTGATCCGGTCGGACTAAAACGAGAGGCTTTTCATATAGTCTCTTCGCCAAGTCCTCGCCATCCAAGGTGACTTGTTCCAAGGGCACCGACAGACTCCTGGCTGCCTCGTACATGAAATTTTCTCCACAACTTTTGCTCGAAAAGATGAGGAGTGTCCAATTTCTGCCAAACTTGTCAAATATTGGGGTGTCGTCTGAGAGAAAGACGTGCGGAGGCCGGCCGCCTGGCCAAGACGTTGGAGTGTATTTTGACGGTTCCCAGTGAGGCTCGGCTTCAAGTCTATCGTCCTGGATAATGACCGGTGACCTATATCGGTACCCCATTTCGATGCCAAAGTCCTTGTTCTCACCATCGTGCGATTGATAATGGTTGTGAATAATGGTTCGGATTCGACATGCGTCCTCTGTGTCCTCATCAATACTGTGCGGATCCCGACCAGCTAAAAGTTCTCCGAGACTGGCGTGGACCTGGAAGTGGACGCCGGAGCGCTCGACGTTTCGAAGCGCTACGGGCCTTCGCTCCAACTCGTAAGACTCGAGTAAGTCGCTGCCACCTGTTCGATTGATGACAGCAGCAAGCTTCCATCCCAGATCGAAGGCGTCAGCAATGCCCATATTCATTCCATAGCCTCCAGTTGGGATATTTTGATGTGCTGCATCGCCAGCGATATGGACACGGTAGTTTGGGCTGCTCCAGCGGCGAGCCACAGCGATATTCGGTCGCCAGACAGAGCGAACAAGAATTTCGTCGATTTCGATTCGATATTCTCCGTAAATGCCGCCGAGAACTCTATACACGGCGTCTCGTGAGTCGATCTTTTCCGGTTCTGCATCTACAGGTAGAAAAAGGTGAGTAGTCCAGGTGTCGACTTCATCCTGGGCGATGACGGCTCCGCCAAAGCCGCCGTGTTCGGCTAGGAGAAAGACATGCCAGAACTGGCCCTGCTTATGTAGGCGGGCAAGGTCACGAGATTTAAAATGGACGAGAAGAACACACGTCGGGCTGCCAAATTTCAGTAAAGAGGATTTAAACACGCTGTATAGAGAGACTTACACCGGTCCCCCGTCTAAAGGAAGACCCAGCGACTTTCGGACTCTGCTGGATGCACCGTCACAGCCAGCGACATAGTCCGAGTAAAACTGAAAAGAGGCGCCTGAGTCCGCGGATGTGACGGTTGTCTTGACGTGATCCTTCTCCTCCTGGACTGATTCAACCTTGTAGCCAAACTGGAGATCGATCAAAGGATCCTTATCGCAAATAGCTTTCAACCACTTCTCGAATATCGCTTGCGACAGCCTCTGCCAAGGTTCCAAGGGCTTAGTTCCGTCGTTATTCTCTCGAATCTGTTTTCGGAACATCTCAACGCTCGGGAGATCCCACCTTGTTATAGGTTCCTTCGCGGAGAGACCCGACGATACCAACACAGGCTGGTCGATGTGGGCGAGGACCCCCTGCCGCCTCAGGTCATCAGCTAGACCTAGCTTGCGAAACAGTTCCATGGAGCGGGCATTTGTAAGATCCATCTTGGGCCAGCGGGTGGTGGTCTGGTTGCGCTCGAACAGAACGGACCTGGTGCCATAGTGTGACAGTACTTTGGCCAGAAGTAAGCCGACAGGACCGCCGCCGGCTATGAGAACAGTCCCCTTTGGTAAAATATGGCACTCCTGACCTAAGTAGTCATGACTTAGGGTTGTTTCTCCGTTGGTGAGCATGTTTTTGGAACTTTGCAAAGTAGAAAACACTGGGTTACGGAGGGACCAACAGATAAGCACTGAGGTTATGAAGAAACTGAATCACACGAAGTTTCTTCATCTACATGTTAGGCACACGGCCTCAGCATCGAAGGCTCCGTAGTACTGGCGATAGTGTCAGCGCATCCAGATCATTTCGCCCGCCTTATTCTCGGTCTATTCCCCCGTCGATTATCTCGTATAACATACCGCTTTTAGTCGGCAAATCTCGGCCGGCAGGTTTTAGCTGCCCGAAATTGGCGTTCCTCGGCAGGCTTGAGACTGATTTATTGGTCATGGCATGCGATGAGAGGCAGCATCTGAACCAGGAGCCTCGAATGGCCGCCAAGACGCTCAGTCCCACCTCCACAGCTTCTCACTCCCCGGCTTTCCCCGCCTCGTGGTTCCTTTCTTACAAGAGCTCCCACGTCGAAATTGCCGGTGCAACATTGCCTAGAGCATTGCTTGCGCCTGATGATGACGATGATGTCCGCCGCACCGGTCTCTCCTACCGTTCCTCGACCTCAACGGGCTCAGAATGCGAGGCCCAAACGCATCGTGGCATGTAATTATTGCAGGGCGAAGAAGATTCGCTGTATGCCCTTACTCTCAACGAGATGACAGCCAGATGCTTAGATTCTACCTAGGTAATGGAGAGGGTGGTGGCCCATGTACAAACTGTCTCGATCGAGGCCAACATTGTACTTCAACCACACCTCGTCGATGGCGTGTTGCGGACGGAAGCAGAGAAGGCAAAGATTTAGTGGAGAGGTTGGAGCAGCTAGAAACACTCCTCAAGCAACAAAGATATGCTGTAAGTAGTAAGCCCATCCATCAGACTTCTGTCGCCGCTCATTTTGCTTAGCCCACCACCACAAATCCCATTCATCTACATGACTCCCCAGCAGCTTTAAGCAGTAACTTGTCTAGATTTACCGGGAGAAATGACCGAGATTCGTTAGACTCAGTGCTGCCTGTTAACTTGTCCTCTTCGTTGAGGACGGACGGTGAAGAAACCCAGAGCCCGTCCTGCTTCACCCTGCCCCACTCGTACAAGACGACAAATCCTCCTGGGCTTATGGACTCGGTATCATTGATACCTCAAACGCATCCCGCCCTCGCCGATACGGCTTCAACACTTGATAGGAGTTCTGGGCATCATCCTACCCCTTCCAATAGCGCTGAGGCGGTGGACCTCGCGGAGAGCAGCCCTGAACAAATCAGAGAGAGAAGTAGTATCTCGTCGAGTGAAACAGTAGGTCGTTCGAGCATTCCGTTTGCATCCAGATTGACTGACAGCGACTTCGAAGTCTAACTGGGAATATCACGGTTCGGGGCGACCGGCCTAATGTTTCCTTGAGTGCTAAGTGATTCTAGGGCCCAGATCGTTCTTGTCTATCTGTTCAAGACCAGGAATCCAATGGGTGGCGAGCAAGACGGGAAGCTCGAGCTTCAATACATCTGCGAGGACTTTTACTAACTACATCACGAGCCGCCTTAAAATCGAGAAGATGCTGTCGAAAAAGCGAAAGCCAGAGCCAGATCAAGAGACAGCGTGGAGATATACTCGAGGTAACAGCCGCAACTAGCCTTGACCGTTTTGCTTCTAACCAAGCGTAACACTTGCCAGCGTTCTTCGAGAAGGGACTTGAATCTGCTCTAGGGATCGTGCACCGGCCCTGGTTCGACACGCAACTCAAAGGTTACTTCAACAGAGACATTATGGATACCGATCCCGCTTGGTATGCCCTCCGAAACGCTATCTACGCTTTCGGATGTCGAATCGAGCTTTCAAATTGCGGTTCCTTTCAGGAAGCCAATCAATCGGCGTGGGGTTATTTCGAAAATGCGTTGTCAGTGCATACGGAAATACTATACTTCCGAACCTCGATTGTTGGTGTGCAAGCTTTGACGCTAATGGTAAGGGTGACGTGCCGAGCAATATTCAAATCGCTAATAACGGCATTCCAGGCCTATTTTACCCAGAATATTGCTAGTCCTTGTCTCGAATATGTGCTCTGTGGTATAGCTGTACGACTTGGCATCGCGAAAGGGCTCCATCGACAAGCGATCGCCTCCTGGAATCTGACCGAATATGAAAACTCCCTACGCAGTTGTTTGTTTTGGGCCATATATTGTTTGGAGAAACAAATCGTTTCTCAATCTGGACGCCATTCAGTACGTGACCCATTTCTGTCCTTCGGAAAAAATGGGCACCTTGGAATTGCCATGCTGACCTTGCTTGAGCTAATTGATGATGACGACGTCAGTTGTCAAGTACCAACATCCGCCCCTCCCGAGAGCACTGTGAACATCGAGTACTGCAATACTCTGATCAGACTGTCGCAACTTTCATCATTGGTCTCTAAAAGACTCTCTACGGTTCAGGCCTTTCAGCAGGGCCCAGAGGCTTTGGTGAGATCCGTCGCTGAGCTCGATGAGCAACTCAACGTATTGAAGCGCTCGATTGACCCGATAATATCTTGTCCTTCTGCCCCTTGTCCGACCCAACTATCATCCAGAATGACGCCACAGCAGATCATGTATCTTCGTGGCGCCATTCAGAGCATAACTCTCGACATCCATACTTCTTTGACGTATCCTTGGAGTAGGAGTATGTGTGGCTTAACCCCTCATGCTGAGTTACGTGATCAGATCGAGACATCGACGCAGGTTGTGGCAGAGGTCTGTCGCCAGGCCATTTTGGGAACTGAAAATATACGTTTCGATGCAAGCACTCCTGTCCCGTGAGTATCCTACCTTCCTTCGCAACCAAACCGCCAACACTGTTTCATTTTAGGTTGAGCTTTTTCGGACCGATGTATGCTTTAATTAATCTCTTTATATACATTCTACAAAACCCCAAGAGACTTGGCATTCAGTCTGATCTTGCGCTGATGGAGGTGGGCGCGGGATACTTCGCGCGGGTGAAATTTGCAACCGGTTCTGGAATTTCCATCAGCTTTGCGAGAGAGATGGCCACCCTCGCCCGAGAAGCCACAGAGAGAGCATATGGACTGAACGCAGGCAACACCGACGTGACTTACGACCAAGATTTCTCCCGCCTTCAGCAAAAGCTATCGGAGAACGTGGCTGTGGCCGATCAATATCTTGGGATTGAAGATCAGCCGTTCAGTGACCAGACCACCGTAAGTCTTCATCGCGCCGCATGTGGTTTTAAAGGCAACCTCGCCACGGCGATACTGATGCTCCTGATCTTAGGATGACATGAGCTCCTTTTTCGACCTCGAGTTGGAAAATTGGAGCACCTTTCTATCAACGGACTTCCACAGCACCACGGCGGATTTTTCCATCGTTCCCCGTCACTAGTCATACGACACTTAGCTCCAAACAAGAGCTTGGGCCAAAAGAGGCCCAAAATACCTGACCGCAACATGCCGCCGACGCGAAGTTTCCGGCACCGAAACCGGAACTAAAGCATTCGCGGAAATTTGTTTGGGCCCCGCCTGGTAGGCTTTGGGTTCCACTCGGCAACCTATAACAAAGGGCGGAAGGACCCCTAACTTGCGGCAAAAGACTGTAGCCGAAATCCTCGGTACCGAGTATAGGGAATAGCTTCCCCATTATGACTATCGTCCCACTAGCCCTAGTCCTAGTCCCTGAACCCCCAGGCACTGTACGTACTGTAACAGAGCACTCAGGGTTCGGCGTGCACGTGCAACAACGCATAGAGACCTGTCCAGCAGGTTGGGAATCGAGAACGCGTATCTGGTTAACGCTGATAGGGCAACACCATCAACACCACCCAGAGAGGCGGCGGCTAGGACAACGCACGCCTAGCACGGGGGCGGCATCGAGGAGCAGGACAGGACCGACAATAGGTAGACGGCACCGAAAGGCCATGGGAGTCATTATACTCTGCTCAAACTGTAAAGAATGGCACTCTGCCAGCCCTGTAAACTGTTCCGCACTCCCCCTACCAGCCCATTTTGGTTTGACATGTGACCAGACAACTCTCCCCCTGCTACCACTCTATCAGCCCAGCACAACACAGCTACCCTGCCTTGTTACAGTATATTATATTATTAGCAATACTAAAGTTATTCAGTACCCATTAAGACTATTCCGAATTCAGCTAGCAACTTTTCGTGAATCGAAACTATTCTAAAATGGGGATTGCGAGGCTAAACACTATTATTATTAATATAGGGATAGTGTTGTACACAGAACAGTTGTGGATCTATCTGCTTGATTGTGTCCTGTCCCTCTGGCTATTCAGAGAGACTCTGCCTGTTTATATATACGTTGGCCTGTACCCCGAAGAGCATTCCTGAATCCTCCTATTCCGTCGCCATCCTGTCACAGGTCTGCGAGAACAACGAGGTTGAGGTAGTTTCCGCAGTTGGTGAAACGCCTAGCGTCTCAGGTGGTTTCCCACAGTAGCGCTCTCGCGACAATGTCAACAGATAGCCTAGGACTAGTTAGGACATACTCAGTACTGGGTAGTCCTGCCAACGCTGCATCCTACTTAGGTAGAGTCTAGGACAACGACGAGAAAGACGGGGCTGAGCCTAGCAGTCGAAATCCAATTGACTACCGAGTAATTGTTCAGTTTTCAAGTATGCAAATATTTCGCGCTTTGAAGCCCATCAATCAAGCTTTGGCAAAATACGGCGTCAGCGTGATTTTCACACAGCCTGTGCCGGCTTTGGACCCGATGCCCAAGGCCCCTGCGCAGGAGAACCACTTCTCGCTGGTACTGTCCTCCTCTGCTCTCAACGCGCACGTCAGCTTGTTGTTGTAATGGCGATGTCGCAGGTAAGTGCGGCGTAGTCCATCACCATGACGTTGACGGGCGCGTCTAGGAATAGTGTCGCTGCATTGGTGACGGAAATGAGAAGGTGGAGGTGGATGTTTGCGACGGCTTCGAAATTGTGGTTGAGGTCCACGAGGCCACATGCCTTGTTTAACGTGAACTTACTCACCTTGACTGTTGTGAGGCCGAAGAAGACCTTGTGTTCGCTTCCGGCACTGCCGGAAGCGGAGGAGAGGCCCGTGTAGGTTCCATTCTCTGCGGCGAGGCTGGACGACGTCTGTTGGAGGATGAAAGTTGGCTGCGGGTGTCGCACGGATTGCATTTCGTTGGCGTCGCGGCTGGTGCGATAACGCTGCTGGTACTTTTGCTGCTGGTACTTGTTCGCGTCAAAGTACTGCTACTCTTTGCACCCATTGAATATTTTTTTTTTTTTTAGTCGTGCTCGTCTTCGTAATTGTTGTCGTAGGCCTGGTTTTTGTTGTTGGCTTGGTGACGGCGGGCGGGAGGTCCTATGTCGATGTCAATGTCAATGTCGATACTGGTGTCGAAGTCGATATTGGCGTCGTGGTCGTGGATGTAGACACTGTCACGGTATCGGTACCATTCCAATAGACATTACAGTTGTCGTCGGGGCAGCAATGATACGCCACGATGTCGTGCTTGACGTACTGAATCCCTGCGAGACACCACCAGCCCTGCGACCCGCGGCAGCACGTCGCTCCCTGGTATGCAGGCTACTCCCAGCTGGTTCCGCTGTAAGCCCAGCTATCGGTGGCATACTCCGTCGAGCATCGGTTGCTGTCCTTGGACCGACAGCCAAGGGCATTGCAGCGCTCTTGAGCAGCCGTGGCAGCAACATGCTAGAAATGGGCATATGGTCAACACAGCAGAAAAAATCCCTGGAGGGGATGCCATCGAAGAAGAGAAAACACAGTTTCAACAAGAAGAGGAGGAGGACGAAGAAGGAGAAAGGGAACCATTTTTTGATGTTGTTGAGGTTCAAAGAGGACCAGGCAACAGTACCTCTAGCAGTTGGAAGGGCTCAGGCGGCACAGATGTCTCTCGTGTCCTTAAGAGTACAGGCTGGACACTGGCTCACTACATTGTGGCCCAATGTTGCTGCTGAAAGTCGGCAGGGTAAGACCTTTTATGGACGAGAAGAGGGCTCTGAGGGTTCGGTATCACTAAACCACGCGACAAGCACTGAACCATAAAAGCTTACTAGTCTTGACTAATGTAGCAGACCTGCTTTCACTCCCACACACTCTCTCCTTCTTTCTCGGGTGTATGGTGCATGAAATCTAGTAGTTGTTGGCCCCATGGTAAGGCTGTGTTCCCCGCTATCCTGCCTTCCATCTGCAGCGGCTGAACTATTTACAAATTAGCATGAGCATCTACATTTGCTTTCACATTAGCTCAGGTGTGGAAAACGCAAGGGGGTAGAGGTAATCAACGGTAATGAATGCTACCATACTAATGGTTCTGCCTTGTCTGCGCGAGAGCGATACCCCTTTTCGCGGTCAGCCCTACGTCCTCGTCCGTATGCCCATTAGCCGCACCGGAGACGAATCCTTTTGACAAAACCGGGACAAAACACGAAGTTGGGGTGTCGAATTGGGGCTCGAGTTTGAACTTTTCGCTTCGACCTCGTGTTTACGGTCCAGCCATGTGGTTTTAGCGAAGAGCCAGACGGAAAATGCTCATTCAGCTGCACGCTTAGACACGAGAAGACGCGGGAACATCGGTTGAGGGAGGCCCACTTCATAGGGTGACATGTGGTGATAAGCTGACGACTTGTGTCTGTGAAGCTTTCTTGGCTACAGCAAACACGGGCTTTTAGTACCGTGCGAGAAGCTTGTCCCATTCTCGTCATTCTCCGAGCTTTATTTCACCCGACGATTGTTCGCTTAAGGGGCCAAGAAGGAGAGGGCTGCTTCGTTGTCGATACAAGAAGTTTCTTTCCTTCTTTGCTAGTACCCACGCACGGACGTGGTAATATCCACATCGGGAAAGGATGCAAATGAGACTGATTGTGGAAGGTCTGCAGAGTTAGAGAAAAATTCTAATACACAATGCTCGCGAAAGGCTCAGGCCACGGCCTGACCTCTGAGTTTTTGCAGCTTTTCGCCGAGCCACTGTATATGTACTGGCCTCGTATAGCGAACTCTGTCTGCCCTCATCGTGATCGTGGGAGGGGATTAAGTGTTTTGAGAGGCTCTCTCTTCCGGGGCCCCCTTTCAGAGGAGAGAGGCAGTATGTCGCTTCTATCCTCATGAATTCGGCCAGAACCCTCCGCCACATGACCCCGATCGGTTTCCTCTCAGTTGTCTTCCTGATCTGCGAAAAAAGAGCAACCGGGCATTCTTTCTCGACATCCCAAGGTTGTCTTCTCCGAGAGCTTGAAGATGAGATTGATAATCGCGTTACTCGGTGTGCCTCTTGCTGTCGTCCACATGGCAGCGGTACAGATGGATCGCACCACGACGGGCTCTCCTGGGTCTGAGAAACCTCTACCAGCCCTCATTCACCTCACTCCAAGTGATGCATAAAAGACACACTAACAGTCTCGATTGCAGGTCTGTCCTCCAATGCCTTGGCTCTGTCGTGCAGTGCGCGACCACGCTTACCAATTCTGCTGCTCTGAGCTTGTGCGAATGAAGTTATATTCGCGCAGCTCTCAGGTATGCCCATCCCTCTTGTTACCCAGCCCACACCGTCTCTCAAGGGCACTGCACTTGACCGCACCTGATTAACGTGTTTCCCTCGATCAATAATAGTTGCAGCACATCCATCTGTGGAGACTCCATACCATCAACGAGTGATATGATGTCCCTAGGGTCGAAATATTGCGGCGATCCAGGGGCGGCGGCGACCGCGACAGACTCAGCTTCATCGACGTCAGGATCCCAGGCCAGCGTGACAGCCTCGGTCGCAAGTACAACAAGCAGTGCCGGCGCTGAACACAAGAAGCTCTCGCAAGAGGTGTTCGTGGTTGCTGTGGTCGGATTAGTCGGCGCTCTAGTCTAGCTCCGGCCGCCATCTAATAAGAATATGAGGATTGTAATTGAGACTGGAACATCACTCTGCGCGAGTTGAAGATTTCCGTTAAAAATTGTATCCACCGTTTTAACCCGTTGCCCTGACCTAGTACAAAGGCCTTCGTGTTAGTAGATATCTAAAGAGAGGCCCTGATCACGAATGGGTAAGAAGTATACCTTGCTACTAAGTCTCTGATAGCAGCCTTTGCGCCTATAGGGACTCGCAATCTGTTGAAGGCCGAAAACCGATTTCAATGTTACGTCTGAATGCATATTGATCTCTCATTCCATTCTCCACCTTGCTGTGGCCCGATCAGGTTGGTCTCTTCTCCTCTCATGACGGATAGCATGAACATGTGACCTAGACACAAAAAGCTGTCCGCACGCCATACTGAATGGGAGCTCTTGAGTGGAACTCAGTTAGACAGGAAGAAGGTTCAGGGTTAGGGCCGAATCTCATAGGCACCAGGGACTCCAAGCTGGCTGGGTGTACTATAAACAAGAGTAATAGCAATGGTCGTCGTGCTCTTGGGGGACAGAACTGCCAGGCATGGCCAGCACGAAAAATGCAGCATAATTGTAAATATTCGGATGATCAATGCGCAGCTCGGAATTCGTCTGTGGTCCTATATATAGTGCGGCAAGTAGTTCAGAGACGACTCCGCAGCTGAGGGAGAGACAGGCTGTTTGAAACTGTTCGTAGTCTTGCTTACCTCGTTTCCATATAATTAGTACGAAGGGACAGTACAAAGCGTAGACTATCGCCTATATATTTCAATTGGTAGAGGTTAGGGACATAGTATTCCCTCAGGTTTGGTCGCAGATAGAGTCAACCGCCTAAGCATTTGCCTAGGATGTCGAGGCGTGGCTTAGCCATGGCTCGGTTCTCTTTCTTGGATCTAATGCCCCGAGTTTCGCTCGGGGAGGTGGCATGGCATTCACTCGCGTTCAAGGATGGCTGCCAATGAGAGGTGCAGGGCCAGCACATAAAGCGACGGTCCCAGTCGCCCTTCAGGCAGCGCGCCCGAGCTCTGCTGCCGATGTTCTGCCTCGCTACCTCAGCTGCCATAACATCAATCTTCGACATAGAGAATTCATTTTGAATCGACGAGGGCCTCTCAATGGATTGCATACTAATCCCGGACAATGTCTTGATGCATATGCTTGTCCCAGACCTAGGCGGTCCGGAATATGACAATCAAGGGTTCCAAGGCTACGATGAACGACAGGGATGGAACATTGCACCACTTCGAAATGGAGACTTCGCTGAGGCTTGTGATCGATTCTTTGAATTCGCCTTTACCGTGACCGGAGATATCTCTCCGGATGACCTGCCTGAGAATGAGGCATTTGTCAGTATGGTCGTCGGGGCCTTCATCCAGACGGGGATACTTTCGGAATCCTATAGGAAGCCTCAAGGTGACCAGTATTTCGGCATGAGGTCTCCCAGATGATTACAACCACAGGGCCTGACGGTCAAGTTACCTCGATCAAACAAATTACTCTACAAACGGTTTCCAAAGAGTTCCTGGGCAAGGAGGACGAACGGAAAGCTGATGCGGCGTGGGCGAGTCAGTTCACTCGTTGTTTGCAGGATGCCGCTGCAATTCTCATGGATTTAGACTTTCTCTTGAAGTTTGGTGGTTATATTGTCCCGATGCCTGTTCATTTGGCTCTGTCGGTCCTTGTACAGAGTCTCAATTACTACAGAGTTATCTTCCCCCGGCAACAGTCTCAGCTTGGTGACAATTACTTTCATGCAGAGTGTCGGGCATTTGAGCTCAAGTTGTTGAACGATGGGGGATGGTGTCCAAACGTGACTCGGCGGATTTTTTCGAGTTTGGGATTGGGAGGCCTATACTACGCGACGCTACTACCGGGTTTCGGATTGTGCAAAGGTCGCAACAAATGCGACATGAGTGCCGGCGTTACTTCGAACATTAATCACGACAAATATGAAGTCATCCACGATTAAAGTTATTGCAGACGCCGCGATATGAGTTGCGATTATCAGCGGTTAGAATGGCCGTGTCCCTATATTGGAGTGCAACTTGCTGAGACAGTCACGGCATTTGGGGGCGGTGGATTCCCTCTGATCAAGTTCCACCATGATCGGGTCCCGATCGTTGGTTACAAGCAGGGAATAGCCTACGTGGCTATTAGCCATGTCTGGTCTGATGGCAGAGGCAATTTAATAGAGCATGTGACCTTGCCAGACAATGAACAAGGGGTCTTTCGCTTCCTGTTGCCCAGCACTCAACGATATCTCTGCGTAAAGGTCAAAAATGGCGAACCTGAAACCTGGCCGGAACTCGAACAACTCTGGAGTGGTCGCTGTGCTATACTGATGCCTCGGACCATCAACCTAAGCTCATTAGCTGCCTTGACTATGCCAGCCGCCAAAATGATGCCGCCGGTGACCGCGCTGAGCCGATCAGAGTGCGATACATTGCCCAGGTTTGGATGTTGCTCGAGACTGGATCCCCTGACCATGAAACGCTTGAAGTGAAAGACGGTTTCGATGCTCTCCGATCGGCAATCCGGAACAACTTCATTCCAGTCTTAGATATAGCAGACTCGAAATCCGTTGTGCCTTCGCAGACGTGGTGCGTATACTGGGCTTGGTATGCTGGAGTAACCTGGTGCGTGACCTGGCGTCACCTCGATGGGTCGCTTTCTGGACTGAAAGGGCAGAGGTAGCCATCAGTTTTGCTTGGAGGCTCGAGCGCTTCAGGTATCAGGGAGCCTCGTTTCAAGTCTGTTTTGCTCGCATCAGCTTTCTCTGTATCGGACGGGCTGTGAAACGGATAAGTCTCCACATTGTTGACAGCATTGGTCTATCCTGCGAGATGTTTGTCTGCCTGTCCTTTCAGCGAGTGCCTTCCTATTTATATATTTATATATTAGTGGTGTAGGCACTTCGCGTCCGCAAGGCTGACGGTCGAAAAGGGGCGAGTTGATTGAAAGTTTATTACCGAGTACGAGGTACTCCAGACCTGCTCCGCTTGCCCCGCACAAAATTGTCCGGCTGCATCTGAGTCGCCTTTGTCGGTTAGCACTGCAAGTCGAGGGTGGATAATTGGGACACGTACTCAGTACGGCGACCGAGTACTTCACCAACATCCCGTATTTTGTGTACACTCAAATACGAGCCATACGAGAACGACGACATTTGCACAATATTGTTATTGACGTTTGATTGGTCGAGATCAATGCACAACAACCGTCAGCATTCTTCTCGACCCAAGTTCATGGAGAGGTGGAACGCGTGCCTGTTTATCCTGCTGCTCCAACAATGTGTTCTCCACAAACTGATAGTGGTGAAGGCTCTTGTTTGGAGAAGGCCGACGGGCTGGTCGAAGCGCAATTACTAGGGCGTCAAAAGTCGTCAGCGCTTTGCGCCGTGCTGGTTGATATCCTGATGGTGACTCCAAGCAATGCGTCTCAATATCCAGGACCCGCGTGTATTTCTTCGTGGCTCCTGCGCGAGACTCCGCACAAGTAACCGCCCCTCCCACTTCCTCCGTTGTATACCAGAAATTCGGTTTTTAATCCCAACCGTGCCCCTTAGCCACCCTTCTTCATGCCTGCGGCGGAAGCCGCTTTGACAGGCGAAACCTCAGATCCTAGCTTCCCATCGAGCGATCCTTTTGCAAATCTCAGTGTGATCTTCTGCCGCTCCATGTCTACCACCTTCTTCATTCGGTCAAGATCACCGTCTCGACCCTCAGCATGCCGAACATTTGCCGCGCCATAGGGTTTATCGATCAGGAAAGTATCCGAGATCACCATCACGTTGCCAGACCAGCGAGCTGGGTGTGTTCGCGAGAGGGCATCGAACAGTGCTTGGTCTATTGGGCTAGTGCCTTTGGGACCGACGCGGGCTTGTGCGGCTTGTTGGGCAGCTATGTTCCTCGCGAGCCGGGCTTGCACAGCATTGGCGTCGACTGTGTTAAGCACCGCAATGCTCGCAGACTCGGCTGAGGGTTGAGGCAACGAGATAAGTTGGAAACTGCTAATTTGCGAGATGGGGATGATTCGATAGGCGCCAGGTGGTGCGACGAGGGATGTGGAGGTAATGGGAATGGCAGAATTTGTATTGGTGTTCACCACAAGAAGGTTGGTCAGGGGATCAGCTGTGTAGACAGTACCTTCCACGGTCGTTTGGTTTGGCGCAGCAGTGGTAAGGCGGACACTATGGCGGCTGTGAGCGACTGGAGACAAATTGATCTCGTGGAGCGCAGTCTTACCGACTTCCAATCGCTAATTGCAAACTGACATCCTGAGAGACTGAAGATGCTGCAGGCTGAGCTGGCTCACCCTTGGGCAAAGCAACCGGCACTCTTCCTGCATTCTGGCGTCTGGTGTCTGTTGCCATCATCATGCGATAGGGGCCCGCAGACGAAGGCGAGGTATGAAGTGACTCCACCACAAGAACTTATGCGCTTCCTACCCGATTGCGCACGTCGTGGGTATGCGGGGAGGGAGGCCAGCAGAAAGAAGCGACGTGGGCCTCGAGTCGTCGAAATCAAAGTCAACGTGAGGCAGTGACAGGCCAGGCTCGTGGCTGCAGTCACGTTGCTCGGTTGCCCAAAATCCAAAGCCAAATTGATACGCCAGGCGCCCGATGCCAATGCTTTGGGAACTGGGAATGGAGAAGCAAAAGCGAAGAGAAAATGAAGCGCGTGGTCGATCAACCTGGACAGTTGATGAGCGCGAGAGGCCGCAACTGACGGGGTTCAGTCGCAGTTCTGGTAGACGAACTTATTTCGCAAGAAGGGGATAGGGAAAGTCTGGAGACCGAGCGGGATACGAGCCTCGTTTGATTGGCCCATCGGACTTGAAGTTTTACCGATACCCGCAGAGCGGGCGCGAGAAAGGGGCGGCTCGGCGGAGAGAACATAGGCGAGCCCAGGATACAAGTTTTATTTTCCAGGCACAAAAAAAGGCCCAATCATGAACACTATCTATGCCTTAGAGATGCAATCCTGAAGTCCTCCAAGCAGAGTGCCACGCACAACACAGTTTGCATGGACGTGTATTCGAATGCCCTGTCTTCCAACATGATGCTCGCAGACATACGAAAAAGAGAGACGGGTTGGTCACGGACGACGCATCTAGACATTGTAGGTGGAAGCAGAGACGTTGCCACCACGGCCAGTCCAGTTGACGTGGACGTGCTCGCCCTTGGGGTATTTCTCGTTGGCATACTCGGGCTTGATCACAAAGGTGTGAGCGCCGAAGTAGTCGCGCTGAGCCTGGAGCAAGTTGGCCGGGAGGTCTTTGGTGCGGTAACCATCAAAGAAGGCCAAGGCGGTGCTGAAGGCCGGCATGGGGATACCAGACTTGACGGCAAATGCAATCACGTCTCTCCAGCCGTCTTGTGCCTTGTGGATGGCCTTGTTGAAGAAATCGTTGAACAGCAGGTTTTCAAGGTCAGGGTCAGCACGGTACGCAGAGGTAATGTCCTTCAAGAAGACAGATCGAATGATGCAGCCGCCACGCCACATGAGCGCAATGGATGGCTTGTTGAGTTTCCAGCCGTACTGTTTGGCAGCCTGTCACGTCGAGTTAGCATGTCGAGCCAGGAGATTCTCCATTTGAACTTACCGTCTGCATCAGCATGAAACCCTGGGCATATGAGATGATCTTGGAAGCATAGAGACCCTGTTCGAGGTTCTTGAGAAAAGCGGCCTTGTCTCCGGTGAAGGATGGCTTGGGGCCATCGATCAGCTTGGAAGCACGCGTACGCTCATCCTTGATGGAACTCAAGCAACGAGCAAAGACAGCCTCGCCAATCAGCGTGACAGGCATGCCAAGATCAAGAGCATTGATGGCAGTCCACTTGCCGGTACCCTTTTGACCAGCAGAGTCAAGAATCTTCTCGACAAGAGGCTTACCATCGTCGTCGTTGTAGCGCAGGACGTCTCGGGTGATTTCAATGAGGAACGAGTCCAAGACACCCTTGTTCCATTCGGCAAAAACGTCACCCATCTCTGCGTAGCTCATTCCGAGACCACGCTTCATGATGTCGTACGCCTGCATGCGGTCAATGGGACGCACCCTCATAGGAATAGACCCAGTCGACTCACCTCGCAAATCAATTGCATGTCACCGTATTCAATACCGTTGTGAACCATCTTGACATAGTGTCCAGCACCTTCATCGCCGACCCAGTCGCAGCAGGGCTCGCCGTCGGACTTGGCAGCAATGCTTTGGAAGATATCCTTGATGTATGGCCAGGCCTCCTCGTTACCGCCAGGCATCAGAGAGGGGCCATAACGGGCACCTTCCTCGCCGCCAGAAACACCAGTTCCGACGAAGCGAATGCCCTTCTCTGCAAGGTATTTTGTGCGGCGGTTGCTGTCCGGGTAGTGGGAATTTCCACCGTCAATAATGATATCGCCTTTGTCGCAGTAGGGTAGCAATTTTTCAATGAAGTCGTCGACGGCAGGACCAGCCATGACCAAAAGCATCATACGGCGGGGCTTCTTGAGCTTGGAGACGAATTCCTCGATCGAGTGGGCTCCGACAATGGACTTGCCTGGGGAAGTCTCGGTTAGCAGGCTCTTCGCTACGGACGGGAATTGTTCCGTACCCTTGGCCTCATTTTCGAGGAAGCGGTCGACCTTGGAAACGGTTCGGTTGAAGGCAACAACGGTGAAACCATGGTCGGCAGCGTTCAAGATCAAGTTCTGACCCATGACCGCAAGGCCAATGAGACCAAAATCACCACTGGGTTCGGCCTGCGCAGGGCCGACCTTGAGGCCAGCCAGTCGCGCTCTATAGTCAGCATCCTGCTCGTCAATCGGGTGTAATTATATGATGCGGCGAATGTCAATTTGAGGCGCAGATTCAATACAAGGGGAATTGGGGGAGAGAGTTTTGGGTTGAGGACGTACACTGGACCAGACATGTTGACGGCGGTAAGGGAAGATTGAAAAGATCTAGGTATAGATAGGTTCAACAGGAATTCAAGAACAAGTTTTGAAGTTCACAAGACGAGTCTCTGTCTAATGCACCGAAAAAGACGAGAGGCACGAATGTTCAGAAAGAGAAAAGAAAGGTGCAACAGGGGAATGGGGAGTAATAATATGATGATTAGAGCTGGCAATGGGCTGCAATGGGCATGGAGGGCCGCTCAGGCACGGCTTCAACCCCACCAAACAAATTTCTCATGGTGGAGGGGCAGCAGTCACAACAGACTGCTCTACCCAGTACAACCCACTCTGCCACTTGGTTACAACCTACCACCGACCTACGCTTCGGAAGTCTGGGTACTGAGTCGCCCTCGGCTGGCTGACTACTCCTGCCACCCGGACTAGCCTTCTTGACCACTCATCGAGCCACGGTCAGTTCCCCAATGAAGAGTCGCTGTTACTGTTGAGGATTACGTCTATCAGGTCTTATAAGCCAGCAACAATGTGCCACAAGGCCATGTGCAGCTGGGACTCGTGAATAACCAGGGCCTCGGTGACTCAGCATTGAACCATTTCGAGCTTTCAGATAGGCCTTTCTCAGAAGTATCATGACGCTGTTAACTGCGACGTCCGACATGCTGCTCCGAGCTGTCCGAAAACAGCCGGGCCCGCGCTTCCAAGAGACCCGCGTACTACGGAGTACACGTCTCCTCCACTGATAGAACTGCCACGCGCGACGCCTCAACCAAAGCTCTCTGCAAGGCTTCGCTCCTCGATTGGTTCTTTGAATAAAAGACTCAGAGCCTCCTCAACAACTGCCTCCGCAAGGAAAAGTTCGCATGCCAAGCCTTATCACGTGTATGAACTGCTCCTAAACGTTCTGTAGCTAGCGCCATCGCCAAACTTTCTTCTTCTGGAGAGGGCGGTCGGTTTCAGCCAGGCGTTCGGTATCGTTGTTGATCCCTAAAGGCCCTGCGGCGATCGACACACCCTCTTCTACAGATTTCGATAGCCCGTCATCTGCAAGTCACCACACTACCTCCATGTGATTTAGACGACTGCTACAAGATCCATTTGCATCAGGTTTCGTCTGCGGCACGTTAGATTCTGTTCGTCCACCCAGCAGTCTCAACCACCGTATTTATCGGCCGGGCTGGTGCAAGACTAACCTCTGAGGAGGTCTGTGGTACGTCCCATCAACCAGTGGTTTTCACTGCCAGATCAAACATTCATCATGTCATATCCGGCCCCTCCAGGTCTCAATACCTCTCAACCGCCAGCCTCCCTTCCTGCGCGACCGCCGCCTTCTGCAGTGAGCCCCGCATCCAGTCTCAAACCATCCTCAAGCAGCGCCGCTGCTAAACCGGCCTTCACAGCATTCGCCCCCCGGTCGATAGCGAACTCTTATCGCACGAGCAGTGCAGCGCATTACGCTGCTGCTCCAGTTACCACCTACAGCTCTGCTGCACAGTATCAGCAACCCACGTCGCTCCCTCAATATGACGCATCGTACTCGAGTGCCCCTCAGATCCGTAACCCCTTCGTGCCCTCGACGGACACGTCTTCCTCAGTCAGCCCTTATCCAGCCTATGACGCCGACTACGAAGCCCAGGTTCAACAATGGCAAAGCGCCTACTTGAGTAGAGACACCAGCAGTACGTCGACACCGAAAGCAACAGGAGGCGCCTCCACGAACCCGACCCCAGTTACAAGCACATTCCACAAAGAATCCACGGCTCATAGCAAGGATGATGCCCCAAAAACGGTCCATCGCTCTGGCGGCGGCACAACCTGGACCGATTCAACCCTCTTAGAATGGGACCCGGCACACTTCCGCATTTTTGTTGGCAATCTCGCAGGCGAAGTAACCGATGACTCCCTGTTGAAAGCCTTCGCACAATACCCCTCGGTCCAGAAAGCCCGAGTTATCCGAGACAAACGGACCACAAAGTCCAAAGGATACGGATTCGTGAGTTTCGCCGATGGAGACGATTACTTCCGCGCTGCGAGAGATATGAATGGCAAGTATGTGGGCAGCCATCCGATTGTGGTGAAGAAAGCTGTAACAGACGTGCGACCGACAACGTTGAAACATTCAGGAAATAAGGGCAAACATGGAGCGGGAGGACATGGGAAGGTCGAGCACGGTGGTGTGCACAAGAAACAGCCAAAGACAAAGGGTGGATTGAAGGTGCTTGGATGAAGCCGTCATGGTATCCTCGTCTTAATCGCAACGAAACGGCCTCAAACATACATCTGGCTAATCACATGAACAATTCAGTTTATCGCCCGGCTTCTATTTACGACCGTCGCCGGAAATCGAAATCCAGACCTAAAGGCATGTTCATATGATTGGCGCCTCCCCAGACCAGAAAAACACGGGAGATTGAGGCTGATTGATTTCCCCATGAGTCAGTAGCATACGTCTATGATGGAGAATGGCGGCTCCAAATCAAGGCGAGCCATCTTCAAAGCTCAACATCCAGCCTCCTGTTCATATGATTGGAGAATATGATCTGTGGCAGCAGAGTTGCAACCTATTTCTGTTGGAAGCCAAGGCAGATGATGTTCAGTGGATGACGGAACAAACGACTCGGGTCCGAGTGAATGAGGAAGTGAGTGGCTGGGCACCATCAGAGGGTTAGGTACGTATGTGAAAAGGGGACGCACAAAATAGTATTGTGATCCTATGTAGATAGGCAAAGCTCATTTTACTGGGTACCTGTGCTCCCAGCGCGGATAATGGACCCCGTCATTATTGAGATGTCGAGCCATATCTCATTGTTTCTCATAATATCACGTCGCATTAAATCATATTCTGTCATATCATCGTTATATGTAAATAGACCATTTTCAACACGCCCGTCCTTTTCGATCATTGAACGCTATGCTATGCAGAGAAGAGAACGAGGGAAGAGAACGATTAGAAGGTCGGAGAAGAGAAGAGAAGAGATAATAAGAAACGGGAGAGGAAAGAAATGAAATGAAATGGGTGAGCAGCAATCCCATAATATCCGAATGCGAATGCGAATTCGACGCCGTCATTATGTCGATCCAAATCAGTCGTAGCCTTGCGGGAGAGACGTTCCTCCTACTCCTCCTTCCGGTGGCACCGTCGAAGCCAGATCTCATCTCAACTCCGAGAAAGCTGAGTCTCCTTCTTCCCCCTCCCCTTCCTCGTCGGTGTTGATGAATTTGCCGAAGACTTTTTCTCCCCCGGAGGAGGAAGAGGAGGAGGAGAACGACGGATACCCAGCTTTAGATCCTTGTTTTTGTTCCTACCACCGCCGCTGCTGGCGCGGGTGCTGCTGCCCAGTTTCACCCTGTCCCCCGGCTTCACGTCGCGTGTCTCGCTCTCGCGCTCGCGCTCCCCGGCGACGACGACGCCTGTGCTCTCCGGCTCAGCAGCCACGGCGCCCTTGGAGATGTCGTCTGGATCCAAGACTGGGTCTGCTCCTGCTTTCTTCTCCACGTCCTTCTCGCTCTTGGCTCCCTTTGCGGTCTTGTGTGGCTCAGCGGCCTCCTCGTCGTCGGAATATCCACTGGGCCTTACGACTTTTAATTTGATCCCCGCGCCCTGCAACGTCGAGTAGACGCGCAGTCCCACGACGCACACGGCGTTCCACGGCTCTTCGGGTCCGTCGCCGTCGGACTCCGCTCTGTCATTGTTGGGTTGTTTCATGTTCGATCCGTCAATGTCGAGGGGCGGGTTCAGGAGCGGCGAGCGGGACCGTCCTCGGCGTCGACCACGGGCGACGTTCCGCCTGATGAGTCGACCGAGGCCGGGTGCGAAGGTGCGGGTCGAGGAGGAGTCCGAGTCGGCGTCGTCGCTACTGCTTAAGTACGGCGACATGTCGAGCTCCGAGTTCCAATCGAATGGGGGAAAGGAGTCTGCGTCGGAGACTTCGTCGTCGTTCACAGGTTCTCCGCCGTCATTTAGGTGGTCTTTGCTGATATAAACGTTTTCGCGCTCGCTGTCAAAGTCTCGGAGGTCGTCTCCGTCTTCTTCTTGCACGTCGTACTCGCTTCCATCAGCGCCACTTCCAATACCCAGCATCGCGGCTGTGGTGTTGAGCGTGTCGCTACGCGGAGGCTTGCGATGGCAAGGTCCATTTACCATGGTAGATTGAGGACCCCTTCGTGCTTTGGTCACAGAAGCGTTTTCGTAGCCGGAGTTGGTGTCTTTGGAGATCTCGTGCTGTGGACGAGACAGTGGAGGCGATTTCGACAACGGCTTGATGTCCGTAATGACCTTGGGGCCGCTGGCTTGAACCGATGCGCCGTTGGCTCCAGACGTGGTGCTCTCGGGCTCTGCGGATTCCTTGTCAGGAAGATCTTCTGGCTCGTTGGCGCGGTCTTCTGCTTCGGCAACCTTGATCACTTCCTCCAGCGGCTCGACGAGTTTGTCGGCGGTGATTTCCTCCGCTGGTTTCTTCTGAGATATAGGAATCGGATTGGGCTCTTCTGACAACTCTGCAGGCCCCTTGACGCTCATTCTGACGACGACGCCATCAGAGGACTTGATCTCGGTGGCTTCGGATCCGGGGTTCAGGACTTTGACTTCGTCGACGTGCTCATTCTGCGTCGTTGAAATCATCTCCTTGTTCTGGGCGTTCTCGTTGATCACATGCCCCTCCATCCCCAGTCCGACCGGCACTCCGCCAGTCTCTCGATTCACTCGTTTTTTTCTCTCTTTCCTTTGTTTGTTCCTTGCCAGTCTCTCTTTCTCTAGCTCGTGCCTTTTCTTCTCCCTCCTCCAATGCTTCTCCGCCTGGGCTTTTGTCCTCTGCTTCATCTTCTCCCTCTCCTTAGCCCGTCTGACTTTCTCGCGTGCTTTGCGTTCTTTGCGTTCTGCCTCCGTCTCCACGATAACACCCTTCGCATGTGCAAGATCGTAGGAGAGACCCATCCGGATGAGCTTCTCGCGTCTTGTCGCAGCATAAACGGGCAGTACGTCTTCGACGTGTTCCCTGTCCGTGTTTCTTGTCGCGGTAATCTTCATCAGGACCGAGTACGTGCCGGCTTCCAGCTCAATGTCTGTGCTGACAGATCTGGCCATGGCGTAATTGCCGTTCGATCGGACAATATAGTCGTTTTCATCCTCCTTGTCATCAGACTCAAGGCGGAATTGGAGGTCAAATTCGTAACCGCCTTCCAAGCCGCCGAAATAGGTGTCGTCCAACTGTGCTAGCACGATCACCACGGGCGCCTTCTCTTGCAACGTCAACGAAAACTTTGTACTGTGATACTCGGCCGACCACGAGACATTGACGCTGGTCCAGCATTGCGTAACGTTCCACTCCGGGCCAAAGATCCTCGTGCGGTCGAAATGCTGGTACTTCTTGAGCAGGTCCTCGTAACTGATCCAGAAGATGCCGTCGTTACCGAACTTGTGCTCCAGCAACTGCATCCACTCGGGTGTCCACTCGGAGCTGCCGTCGCTCCATTTCCCCGTCCACTCCTTCTTGCCCCACGGGTTGCGGAGTTTCAGGAGTCTCTGGCCCTTGATCTCCCTCGCGTCCATGATGCTGTAAGCGTGCCCCTCGGAAATACCCTCACGCTCGCGCGGCGCGCCGCTTGTGTCCAGCCAGTTGGCATAGAAGCCCGTGGCGCAGCCGAACAGGAACTTCGAGCCGACGTGCATCAGCTCGTCGCGCCAGAAGGCCTCGCGGTCGAGGATGTCGGTGCTGTAGATCTCCGTCGTCACGCCGCCGGTCAAATCCTCGATCGCCTCGCCTGTGAACCCGCCGTCGATGGAGGCGAAGTCTCCGTGCGCCTTTGCATAGGCCTTTTCGAGGAGCGGGAGCCACGTCTCGTTTTCGTCGCTGCATTGTGCAAAGTACAGCGCTCGCGAGCCCGTCAGGTGGGCTTTGCGGTATTCCTCTGCGCTGTCTACGCGGTTGATATCGTCCCAGACGACGCGCTCGTCCTGGGCTTCGTCGTAGTCGGGTGCTCTGGCTGGAAGACAAATCTCAGTCAGTCTTGGCCGATGTGGGGATGACCAATCACCTGTTATATCTACACAGCAAGGAGGAAAGGGAGACTTACTGTAAAGTTTATCGTCGATTATTGTATGCTGCCATTCGCCATCTGAGAGAATGAACGGATTAGAATCCTTCTTTTCCCCCATCTGGAAGGGAGTTAGGAATTTTACCTCGAAAGAAGACAAAGCCATAGACACCGACGTCCTTGTCGTGCTTGACGCAGACTTTGTCGATCAGTCCAGGCATATTTCCCAAGCCGCACAGTGCTGCCATCAGGTAGCAATCTCCATCACGGCCCTGTCGCACATCCCCTGCCGTAGGGCCATTGATGAAAAATTGAGGATTCTCGAAGATGTCCTAAGCCATATTCTTAGCCCACTTTAAATCTCTCTGCGACTCGGGCATTGGAAAAAAAGCAAGGCAGTACCGTGACTCGTTTGACGCCCTTTGGCTTCATGGAATCACCAGGCGTGCTGAGCCCATCTAGACAGTTCCGCTGACCAGACTTGAGATCCCATTCGATGTCGAAATGCATGTCGCGGTACTTCTGGTTCAGCCGCCGGCACTCCTTGATGATCCTGTTGACGTCCCTTTCACACTCGGCGCGCGCCTCCTCATACGATTTGGCGGCACGTTGGCCACACACAGTGCCATGGGGAGTTTTTGCCGCCTTTTTGCGAGCATATGGGTTGTTCGGAAGGACCGTGTACACTTTACCGGGGTGTTTGGGGTTCAGCTTGTCCCAGAACTGGCTCACTGTCTCCTGGGGAGGCTGTCGACGCTGCTTGCGGCGCATCTTTGCTGGAGGAGGTGGAATGGAAAGATCAGGCGGAGGAGGACCGTAGCAGCGGCCCCCTCCGCCGATATTGTCTCTGCGGTCGTCCATTGCTGTTTATGAATTGGGCACAGAGAGATAGTCCAACGCCAAGTGGGACGTATGAGTGACTCAATTATGAGGCCGTGAGTGCTAGGAATTTTGACGGCAGCAGCTGAAATGCAATCCGCCAGCCTGGCCACGCACGAACAAGGCCCAACGGCGTGGCAGCCTGATGATGAACAGCAAAACACCTGAGTCAGACGGCACGAAATGAGGCGGACCCAAAGAGGAACCCGTCTTATTAGTCAAAAACCATCAGATTGGCAGTGCAAAAGAACAAAGCGACAACTGTGAGCACCGTGCAGGTAGAGGGAAAGGAGGCTGAAACTCTCGATCAACAGCCACACATACTCGGTTGCAACACTTCATCAGACAGAACCACCTGGACCGATCGCTAGCTCGGATTTCCCAGTCGTACAGTACGAGGATCTCGGTTCTGGACCACTGCATTAGCTAGAGCGAATCAGCGCGCAGGGACTGTGCCCCTTATGCATAAACGGAGGAGTCCATGTGCGGCTGAGACGCTGTCACGCTGCCAAAAAGCCCAGGACTTTGGACTTTTGGGAGGCACTGGCACGCCACGACTTTCACAAAACTGCAGAAAGAGCAACCAAAGAGGCATGCTACTTGCTTTTCCTTGTCGCCTTTTGTTTGGGCAGAAGTCATGCTGTTGACGCCCATCTTCTCCTCGACATATCACGGGTGGTTGCTTTCAGGGCCTTGAACGAACCCGTTGCAGGCAAACTTAGGCAGCGCGAACGTGGCCCCCAAAATGGCCGAACTGGTCTCTCAATTGCCTTGTGCGGGAATCATCTTGGCTGTGCTTGTCCCGCCTGGTTGCCCAAATTTCTCAGTGGATCATAAGGCTGCTGATGCGGCCAGGAAAGTCCCTCCTGATTTTATCCGCAGACGGTGGTTGGCATAACCCATCATAATCAAATATATTCGCACAGCTTTCTTAATGGAAATTCCATCCTGCGTGTGTTTCATTTTGACAAGTAGTCATTGTTTCTGCACTACCCGGAGAAAACCGATATTACGATCTGCCGACCTACAGGGCAAGTCCTACAGTCGGATATGCACAACAAGTCACCCTTTGAAGCCTTTTGGCAGTACTATACGCCTTGGAGTCCCTGCTTCTCGGTGGCCACATCGTAGTCGCCAAACTCGTCGGGAACAATAACCAAGTTGTCCGAGCGATAGGGGTCGACCTTGACGGACTTGAATTTGCGCGCAGAGACTTTGTTCTCAAACAAGACATCAAGTTCGGCATAGGTGAGGCCCTGGGGGGCTTGTCAGATGGCTGCGTCGGGGTGAAAAAGGGACAGCGACTTACCTTGGGCTCCGGAAGACGGAAATAAGTCCAGATCAAGCCCAGCAAGTTGAGACCACCCCAAAAGAAGCATGTCTTTCCGCGCCAACCCCACGCTGTTGGGTTCATCATGCGGGGTTGGAGAGTACCAACGATAATACCCATGATATTGTACACATTTCGGGACAAGACAACAGTCTTGATTCGAAGTCGAGTGGACGGAAGCTCAGCCACCAGCGAGTAGCAGACGGGCCCAACGGTGAAATCGTAAATGAAGGTGAGAATGAGAATCAAGGCACCCGACGCCCAACCAATCGAGGTGGACAAGCTCGGAACTCCAAGCCCACCGATGATCATCAGGATGATGAACATGGCTAGCTGGCCTGCGAGATACAAGGTACGGCGACCGAAGTGCGGCATTAGGAACCAAGACAGTACGGTCCCCATGAAACCCATTGCACTCTGGCCAACCCCAAGAGAGTATGCGTTGCTTTCGCTCAAGCCAGCTTGGATCATGAAATAGGTACCCCACCCGATCATGGGAGAGCCGGACGTCTGTTGAATTAACCAAGTGATACAGGTGACTTCAGTTCGTCGGAGGTCAACGCCCTTGAAGCAATCCCAGTACGTGGTACCTGCAGTCTGCTGAATCTCAAGCTCGTTGGTGTGGATCATCATAGCCAATGTGTCTTCCACGTTGAACTGCGTGTTCTTTTTAGACGTCAATCTGAGCAGTGCAGCCCGCGCTTGATCCAGCTTGCCGTGGCGGACGAGCCACCAAGGACTCTCAGGCGCAAGGAATGCAGTAATAGCAATGGGAAGTGGCCAGATCCATTGGATGGCATACGGCACGCGGTATGCCCATTGATCGCTTTGGTTCACAAAACCCTTCAGAACACCGGCAGCAATGAGCTGGCCAATGACCCAGCAAAGGTTGACGTAGGTTGTCAAGTATGGTCGCAACGGGACTGGTGTGACCTCCGCGGCATATGTGGTAGTCAGAGTTTGGAAGACCTAGTGGAAGAGTCATGTCAGCGTCGTTGCTCGAAGCCCGGTCCCTCGCAGCGGAAGATCAACTCACCCCCCATGGGAGACCTGACAAAACGTAACCAGCGAGCAGCATCTGCACATCGACGGCGAAGAAAGTGATGAAAATAGTTCCGGTAATAAAGGCCAGAGCGCCGATCATGGTCCAGCGGTATCCGATGCGCTCCGAGATGATGCCGTTCAGGAACAGTCCGATGATTTGAGCAGCAGCCGTGCCATTGGTGAGCGCCGATTGCCATGTCGCAGAAACCTGGCAAGTTTGGACACCGTCAACGATCCCTGTGGGCGACCCGTACTTGCAGGAAAACGTGGTCAATCCGAAGAAGTTGCCAAGGAGGTAGGTATCGTATCCCTCCATGATGACGGCTAGAGAAAGACAGAAGGAGAACACGATGGCCTTGGGATACAACCGGCAACCCTCGCGGAAGCCCATCTTGTGTTCCAACTCTGCGGCAGCTTTGGCATCGGCAGAGAGCTCAGCCAAATTGGGGACTGCCACTGACATTTTGCGAAGAGTTTCATCCTTCTGGTTGAAGACCGTCTCCTCTTGCACTGCCGCAACAGCTGCAGCGGGGACAATAGAAGACCTGCGTCTAGTCGTGTCGTAGGTTGGTGCCCCCATATTGCTGGCATAGTGGGAGACACTCATGTGGCGGCCGGTACGGCCGGCGCCACCCTCCTCGTCGTGTGCGAAGCTCATTGTGAGAGGTGGTCAGGCTCAGTCAAAGACGTGGGCAAAGAAGCACGCGACCTCGATGGTCCCCTATCAAACAATTGAATAGGTATCCCAAACACCAGGGCTGTGGTTGATGAATGCGAGCCACCAAGGAAGGGGTAGCCATCAAGATATATACTCCTGTGCCTGGTGATCTAGCTCCCCTCGCCCTGGCGAACACAAATGACGCAGTGATTGTTCGAGGAAGCAAGGGCAGCGGTAAACCATAGCTCTCATCGTCTGCCAATGGTACAGGGTGGCCGGAGAAACTTCCAATCAGCACCACAACATCATTTGGGGAGCTCGCATGATCAAGGTACGACTTACCCAAGTCAATGTTGCTCAGACTGCGCCGATGGCCTATCCAAGAACCGATAGAGCAAGGTTAAGCGAATTGGTCAAGGTCAGACGGGTCAGGTGTTGCCAGCCCGCAAACCAATGGATCCGAAAGAAGGGCGACCAAGAGGCTTGGATAGTTTCAGAGCCTTCCCAGAAACGCAGGTAGAAAGCACGGCAAAAGGAAAAAAGAGACGACGAGCGGCCGTTGGCCAGCATACGGGTTGAGCGGTGGAGCAGTGCTGGAGATCGCAGAAATGGCCGGCAAAAGAGTGGAGAGAATCAAGACAGCCTCGCTTCGCATGCGCCACCCATGTTTCTTCACAAAGGCGCTACCGCGACCTCTTCGTCTTGACCACCCATGTCCACCCCTTGGTGAACCCAGCAGGCCCAGTTGCTTACCAAAAAAAGGCGGGTTTAGACTCTCATGGATACACCCTAGCTGCTGCTGACGAGCCAGACCCCGCACTCCTCCCAATGTGCCCACTTATGTCAAACCCCAGATCTTCTCCACTGTCGATGGCTGGGGCACTTGATGTCTGGGTTGCAACAAACCTTCAAGCAAATCTGTAGCCTGAGTCAGGTGTTCCCAGGTGTCTTAATGTGGACAGACGCTCGGCGCTTCTGGTGATCTGGGGGATCAGCTCTCTCTGACCCATATCCCTCGGTGATCCGCCGCCAGCCAACAAGCCTTGCCATCTTCTCCAGATTATAATCTCCTGATGTGTGGTGGAGGATCAGCGCTTGAGAAGTCGACAACATGGTGCCGACATCCGTATAGACCGTTGTGACCTCTGTAATCAAATGACTCGGCAGCCACGAATCTGCATTCCTATCTGAGGTTGAGACGCGACCGGAGAAATTGTGGTCCTAGCAGCAGCATCCTTCTGCTATCCCCTGGTCTTCAGCAAACAAGGACGGGCATTCAGCCTCGATTTGCTGCAGTAGGTCTGAACTTTGCGGATTATTGTTGCATCGAGATCCGTTCGGGTCCCTGGCAAACTGGAAAACGTCACCACTTAGTTTGACCGTGGTGTCAGGGTACCAAGGGAGGTTGTTTGCCGAAGGTACATGTTGCCTCTCGCTAAAACTGTGTCTATCATTGACGATCTCCTTGTCACTTGCGTTGTCCTTCCTCGAGCCTAGGAGAGGTCAGTGCTCAATCAGGATAGGCTGGAGGCAAAAGGTTGCGTGAGTGGCTTGGCCCTCGTATTAAGGAGGGGGAAGTCTGTTGGAATTCCAAGGCGAGCGTCACAGACTCATCCGTTCACCCTTAGCTTTGACATCAGGATGGGGAAAAGGGTGCCCTTGAGCGACAGCGTCTTTTGCCGTTTCCTGTGCCACTCATGGTCGAGGCCAGTTGCACCGTAGTTTTGAAATGGCATTAATCTACAACTCGGCGAGTTTTCGATACCAGGTCAGCGCTCCTTTCAGTATCCACGGTTCTGGAGTCGAGGCCGTCGACATAGACCCGCTTGCAAAGACTCCATGGGGAGTCGGTCTATGCAAGCTGCCGTCATCATGCGCACGGAAAGGTCTGCCTCAGAAATGGAGACTCGGTCCGCTGGATTGTGCTAATGTCGGTGACGGCCTGGCCACCTTTACGAGGGGCTGAAATGCCCAGGTCCAGTTGCAAGCCCTGCATTTTGAACACCAAACAGCCACCTCCGAACGTCGGCCGGGGGGGGGGCTGTCCATTGGGCGGTTAGTGTGCCTCTTTACTATGCCGGGAAAGTTGTTGCGGTGCTGCGACGCACAAAGGCTTGCAGCACGCTGACTCTTGTTGCCTCGGCGCATAAGATATGCCCTACCAGGCAGAAATGGTGGCAGTCATTGACTGCGAGCAATTTCCCCCAACAATCTAGGCAGAGTGGAAAGCCGGTGAATTGGGTTGCACAGAGACGCCAGAGACGCCGAAAACGCAACTGTTGGGCAGAGGAGGAAGAGAAGAGTGGAAAAGGCTCCCAGAAGCAAATCTTCGCAGTGAGAAAGTAGCGCCGAGAATTTTGCCGATCGCAAGAGGCAGAAGGCGCAAAAGGGGCTTGAACGGGTCCTGCGAGAACAGTTACAATCTTGCAGACCGACATCCACAATGAATCCCGCCGCAGAACATCTTTCCTTTCTATCGACTTTCCAGAATTCTACTCGTTTCAGCTACTCTAATGATCCAGCAACCTTCGAATCCTACACTGGCAGCTTCTACCGCACTGCATTGTGGACATTGAGGGCTTGAGCGAAGCAGCGGGACGTCTCCTGCAGCGATGTGACCTATCATTGTGGACCAGCATGTCCACCAAACATTCTCGTCACGCTCTCCCAGTTCTTCATTTCGCTCATGTTGCAGTTCCGCATATTCCAGCGCACGATACCAGCTAGATTTCCCCGTACTAAGGACGGCGACGGGAGGTTGGGGCGGTTCCTGAGAGGCGATGGCCACCATTGCCATTGCTCATGCTGGTTGACCATTGATCTCCAGGTTCGACATTGCTTGCTCTGCTGTCTTTCCCACTTCAACCTGTTCCTTTCCCTCGCCTTCAACTGATCCGTCTGCTTCGGCAGTCACCTTGGCTGCACCTGGGTGTCTCGAGCCTTTATCCTTCGGCTGCTTCTTCTTCTTCTTCTCAGGCTCGGGAGGCGGAGGGTAGGCTTTCTTCTCAATCTCTTGCCATTCTGCTGACGCTTGGAATTCAGCTTGAATGGGCTCCAGCAATTCTATGATAGCAGCAGTGGTGCCTGCTTTAAGCAATTGTGGGGTGAGCTTGTCAGTTCGGTAATCCTCCTTTAACGTCTCAATGTCGTGGTAGACCAGCGATTCTCCTTCTCCTTCCTTTCTCTCGCACATAAAAGTTCCTTTTCCTTCTGGATCACGCAGAGCGCTAATGGGCAGTAACACATATTCAACGAAAGATATTAGACCGTTTCCTTCAACTTCGCCCGTGGCGGCATATGCTTTGCGGAGCTTCTTTCTGACCGTCTCAGCCGTGTCGAGAATGTCAATTTTGGAGTCGGGTTCGGAGGCGGACATTTTACCACCCGCCAGACCCGGCACCATGGGATTCATCAAATGCGCTCGTTCTTTGTAGCCAACCCTTGGGAGGGCCTCCTGCGCAAGAGTAAAGATTTTTCGCTGATCGACTCCACCAAACTGTGCATCGACACCCAAATGGTGCTCATCCAATGCCTGCATTAGGGGATAGATCAATCCTGATAGCGTAGCATTTTCCACCTGCTTGACGACCTCAGCACCAGCTTTCTTGGCATCATGCTCCGTGACCACGCTACTCAGTCGGAAGACATCCATGGTGTACTCTGCGCTTAATTGGTAGGAGGAGCCGAGAACAAATTCCAATTTTTCCAGGCTCACACCGACGGCTCTAAGGAGAGACTGAATAACGTATTTGTAGTACTGTGCCCGGAATTTGACCAGTTCAATTGGCGCTTTCAGATTATCGAGGAACCCGTGGATGTCGGCAAGAAGGATCTTGACACGACAGCCCGCTCGTAGGAAGTGGGCAATTTTCATCATTGGCACGAAGTAGCCGCAATGCGGTCGTCCCGTTGTAGCAGTTCCCCAGTAGACCACCAATGGTCTCTGCTCTTTGAGGATGACATTTTCGAGAATGTCTTCACGCAGCACCTCTTGTAACTGGTCTTTGATCAATGTGAGCTTCTCTTGGGGCGACAACTCTTTGCCCGCCATGGTGGCAGGGTGAGATGGTGGGACCGTGCGCAGCGAGTGAAGGGGGCCAGGGAGGAGAATCCAAAGTCCGTAAATAACAAACTTGGAGGCCGACCTCGGGGTATGGAAAACGTTTGAGGGGGAGCGAAAGTGAATATCGGGTCCAAGTCAGTCGTCTTTGCAGAGTCTTGGTGAAGATTAATGAGTCAATGAGCAGAAGGCGGGCGATTTTCTGAGATGGCCGCAATTCAGCCGAACTGCGGTCAACTGCAAACTCTGCAAACTGTGCAAACCATGCAAACTGCGGACGCGGAAATGTCTTGGCAGGGACCATTGCTTTCCGGCCAATCAGACGCGTCTCTGGCCCAAACAAACAACTGCGCATCGGACAACGATGCAGCACCAGTGGCACATCTTACTCCAACTTGTGAAGAATTCCCTTGAAGCTTCTGGGTGAGAGTCGTGCATACTGTTCGGTGCCTTTGTATCTCCATACTAATCTCTAGGTCGCTCGCCACATCTAAACGTTGCTGTCGTTCTGAGGGCAGCCCAGAAGAATCACCCGATTGGAGGCGACCCCTTAGCTTGTTCTCTGTCTCCTGTCGATATCCAGGGTTCTGCTCTCCTGGTACTGCGTGGATGAAGCGATAGTGCTCACGAGAATAACATGGAGAACTACCAGAAGATCGAAAAGATTGGAGAAGGTGAGATTGGACACTCCCGCAGGTTAACAATTTCTGTGTTAGATTGACACTGGTGGGTGACTAGGCACATACGGCGTCGTGTACAAGGCTCGAGACCTCTCCAATGGCGGCCGAATCGTCGCTCTCAAGAAGATCCGCCTAGAAGCTGAAGATGAAGGCGTTCCCAGCACCGCAATCCGCGAGATATCCCTGCTGAAAGAAATGAACGACCCCAACATCGTGCGTTTACTAAACATAGTCCACGCTGACGGCCACAAGCTATACCTCGTCTTCGAGTTCCTTGACCTGGATTTGAAAAAGTACATGGAAGCATTGCCAGTTTCAGATGGTGGACGAGGCAAGGCCTTGCCAGAAGGTTCGAACTTGGATATGCAGAGACTTGGCTTGGGCAAGGATATGGTCAAGAAGTTCATGGCACAGCTCGTCGAAGGCGTTCGATACTGTCATAGCCATCGTGTCCTGCACCGAGACTTGAAACCCCAAAACCTGCTGATTGATCGCGAGGGCAATCTCAAGCTTGCCGATTTCGGTCTCGCAAGAGCTTTTGGTGTTCCCTTGAGAACATACACCCACGAAGTTGGTCAACTCCCGTCTCCTCTCTCAATGCCGGTACTTATTGATCTCATAGGTTGTTACACTATGGTACCGTGCTCCAGAGATTCTCCTCGGCGGAAGACAATACTCCACGGGTGTAGACATGTGGTCCGTCGGCGCTATTTTCGCAGAAATGTGTACCCGCAAGCCTCTCTTCCCCGGCGACTCTGAAATCGACGAGATCTTCAAAATCTTCAAGTAGGCTCCCCAGTGCATAAAGCTCACCAGTATCATCTATCGACTGACACCCAGCAGACTCCTTGGTACCCCTGACGAAACAACTTGGCCCGGCGTCACCTCGTTCCCAGACTTTAAAACTTCCTTTCCCAAATGGCGTCGGGAACCAACCTCGAAATTCGTGCCGAACTTGGAGCCGGCGGGTCTTGAACTGTTGGATGCTATGCTCGAGTATGACCCTGCACATCGAATCTCGGCCAAGGCGGCGTGTAACCATCCCTACTTTGCTGCCGGATCGGCTGCCTATTCGCAACGTGGGCCTGGCGTGGTCAGAACGAATGGATTTCATTGATACACGACTACAAAAAGGGGATGATTCATGCATGTGTGTGATGCGGAATGGGTTCAAGCCAGAGCTTAACATCCGTTTTCCTAGTCAAAAAGCGGCCTGCCTCACGAGCGGACTATGATATTTGTATCGAGTTGTGCATTGAAACGGAGCTGCACAGGGCTGGAGCGGGATAGGAGTGAATGGGTGGACGGTTAGGGTTGGTCGGCCGGCCTGGGCTGGGCTGCATTGGGTTGGCTGGTAATGAATTATGTATGTTTTGGGCTAGAAACGACAAAGCGCCCCAGGCGTTGGGGGCGTGATGAATGAGTGAGTGAGTGAGTGAGAAAGTGAGGGCTTCTTTCAGAGAATTTCCTTCCACACGGTGTGATGTGTCCTTGGGATGACTGAAGGGTCCTGTCCCATAGCAACAACAGAGCTGATCAGAACGAGTTCCATCAATCCACCCATCCATCCGTCCAAGCCTGCTTGGCCTATGACTAGTAACTCCCTAAGTAATGATCAATTACAACTTTTGGACTTCTGTCATTCAACACGGAGATGGAAAGGGAAAGGGAAATTGAAATGGTGGTATGAGATATTTTGTCTACCGACGACCGGGGTATACCAAGTTTACTAAGACACGGCTGCTGGAAGACCGAAGTCCCACTCTTCGTCATCGTCGTGGTGTTTCCTTCCTCTTTGCTTTCTTTTCCCCTCCAGCTTCATGGCGCCGTCCGAGATTGATCGCAGTCTTACTCGTCATCTCTCACTCCAGCTGCTGCTCCGCTCCATCATTCTCTGTGAGCGTGTTTCCGGCATCCATTACAGAGGAGAGCTCGCGTCTCACGCGTGGTCCTTCTCCACCAACGTCTCCTCCGTGACCGGTCCACTCACGCTGGCAATGCTCTTCCTCTTGCCCACGTAAGAACTCGCCTGCAGCATGTTCAACTTGTCCTCTTCGCTGTCTAGTTTCTTGAAGTTGAGCCAGAAGAGGATGCCGCCCACGCCGGCCAAGACGGCCACGACGCCGTAGTTCCACACGAGCAGCGGGTCGGCCGACAGCGCCACGAGGCCCTGGGCAATGGCGCTGGAGAAGGCGTTCATCAGGAGGTTGATGGACATGACGAAGCTGCGCATGTTGTAGGGTGCCTTGGTGAAGGCGTACTCTAGGGACGTGATGCTTGCCATGATCTCAGAGAACCCGATGAGGACATACGGCACGGTTTGGACCCAGACGTTGATGGGTGCCGGTCCCGAGCAGTCTGGGTCAGAAGCGTTGTGGCCGCAGGGCGAGAGCCGGTAAATGTACACTTGTATAACACAGGCGGAGACCATGGCCAGACTGGCGAGCGCGAAGCCAAAGGCGATTCGCTTGATGGGCGTGAAGTTGATCCGTGCCTTGCGAAGAGCGGGGTAGACGACGAAATCCATGAAGGGGATAAAGATGATGATGGAAATTGGGTTGAGGTTTTGGATGATGCTGGTCTGTTGTTAGCCTCGAGGAACTAGCTGTCTCATGAGGGTTGAGAGTTCCTGCAACACTCGTTGCTGGTCTTTAGGGGGACTTACTCGTTAGGGACGCCGTTGAGTTCCATGACGCTAGAATGTGTGAGCGAAGAGCGATTTCCCGACGTCATGATAAGAGGGTACACTTACGCAGCTTGAGATGTGAGGTTACCCGTCATCTGGCCATAGGCAAGCCAGTAAAGAGGCAGATACAAAAAGACAGCACACGCCTTGAGTCCACGACGGACTTCGTCAACCCAAGCGTCATCGAACGTCATCCATGTCGGTCTTTGGGCGGCGGGAATGTTCGAGGGCTTTGCACGTTCCCAGAAATCTGGAGCAGACATGTTCTTGTACATCCTGACTGGATTGATGCTCCATCTCCCCTTGGATGCGTAGGTCCACAGTTTCCAGAACTTGGCGATCACAGAGCCAGTGGGCGGAGTCAACACGTAATGCTTGCGACATACCAAGAGCACAACTGGCGCAAACAAGAACAAACATGTGGGAAGCATGTAGGCAAGCCAGAAGCCGACGTATTTCTCGCAGTAGACCATGCCCTGCGGCGTTGTTAGCATCGAAGAGTTGCTATCGGGGAAAACATAGCATGGTGGTCCTGGCAATTGGGGTACCGGAGTGTGGGAGGACCTACAATTTGTCCAACCAGGGAACCGATGTTGATACAGAGATAAAAGTACAGGAAGATTCGAGAGGTTGTTACTGTTGGATCAACAATGACACGCTCACCTGATGGGAGCACCTCGATCCTCTTTTTGATCTCTGTCTGTTGCTCAGCTAAAAGTGGAGAGATGTTGGACTTGAAGCCGCCAGTTCCAACGCCTAGAATGATCAGGCCAATGGAGAAAGCAGCAAGAGCAGAACTTCCATGAGCGATGACACTAGGAGCTGCTGAAGCTGTCAAGATGACGTGTCCCGCAACCGCGCAGATGATGGCGGCGTGGATGGTTTTGTAGCGACCCCAGTGAGCATCGGCAATGTATCTGCAGATATCGATCAGCACATACTCACAGCGACACCATCTGATGACAATGACTCGACGACAAGGGAGTATCATTTCAAAAGGAGACTCACGCGCCCAGCAAAGGCATCACATAAGCCCAAAACTGGTTAAAGGTCACGAGCCCAGTTGAGGCACGCTGACCCATTCCGAGCGCTCCAGACTGGCCCTCATGACCCGCGCCAGTCGTAGAGCCTTCGGGAAGAGGTTGCTGGATAAAATTGACAACTGAATCGCGTCAGAAAGAGCCTCGTGATTCAAGAGTCAGTGGCCGGCACTTACAGACAACAGTCGTGCCATAGTAGGAGAATCGCTCGCACAACTCGACAAAGGCGACTGTGAAAGCGGGCCAGGGGATCTTTCCCGAGACTCGACGAAGAGTGTTGAGATCGGCCTCCGTAACCTCGTCGTCGCATGAAGTATTTGTCTCTTGAAGCGAGTGCACATCGATGGAGCCACGGCCCAGGCGCTTCTCCATCGCAGTACCGGCGAGGGTGGCATCATCCACCTGAGCCTGAGCGATGATAGGAGCTTCGTTAGATGCGACAGCGCTCATATTGGCAAGATAGTGTTATTGATCTTGATGAGACAAGAGTACTATCTGCTTCGGTGTCGTAGTGAGGCATGGGTCGTCATTGCATAGATATATGTCTCGATCCCATTTTGCCATCAAATGCACTCGTTTGCACATCACTTGGGCGTATGGACGGAGCAGTCCGACAAATGAGGAAGGTGTCGTTGGTTGTTATCACTGAGAGGAGGGGTGGCACAATGGCGATGTATCCCAAGCACTTGGCGACATGGTTCGGTTTCTTGGTACAGCTGGCTGTAAGCGGGTAGGATCAGAGACAGTCCTTTTTTCGGCCACCCAGCCGGTGGGCCGTCTAATATGATGGACAAGCTCGGTGACCAAGCTGCTCGTGCTGGAGCTTAAACCACATTCAAGAGTCCTTCTCTCGAGGTCGCGTGTCACAAAACTGGGCCGGTGATTGTTGTGACACCTACCGTCGGCGGCCTAGGGACGCGCTGCTAGCCATCGTCTGAGGACAAGATGCCCCATAGCCGCCCGGATTGGCCATGCACATCCGTCTCGACGAGAGAGCTGATGGTAGTGGTTCAGAGGATCGAAGTTCTTGTCGAAGGAAAGCAGGGATCTCGCCACCTCATCGAATGCTGCTTCCATTTCTTCTCTGCTTCAGATCTGGTGCCGCCAAGCTGCAGATCGCAACATTCCACTCTCTTGGCAATGCCAGTTAATCAGAGGGAACACAGCTTGGTGTAACGTCAACTTAGCGAGAATCCCATCTAGAGAACAGCGAAGACGGAGGACACTACTACGGTACGGAGTCCCCCGAATGCCCACCAATCCCCCGGATTCCCACGGTTACTTCGGCATCAGAGATATGCTAGTGGGCTGAGACAGGGGCTTCAAGTCCTCCTCCATGCGATAGAGCTCATTTGAAGATAGCGAGGCATGAAGGTGGACAAAATCTATCTCACCACATGTCAGAGGAAATCCATCGAGACTCACGTTGTTCTACCCGGCAGTCTTGCCATAGCCGTCGGGTTATCTAACGACATTCCAATGCGACCTCACAATATGCAACGTCTAATCTTGCCAAGGAGCGGCCTACATTCGCCTTCGCTCTGCGTTCTTCAAGGGCTTGTCAGTTCCAAACATTCCCGGACAGCTCGCCATCCCGAGGCTGATGTGCGAAGAAATGGGTATGTCCGGATCTGCCGGTCACTGGACATGCATCGACGAAGCGCCGAGCCTCAGAAATTAGCCTGGAACCAGGATGGCCGAGTTTCTAGAACTTGATATCCTTTGGACTGTCATGGCATAGATTCAGGTCTTGAGGCATCGTAGCTCTTAGAGACCATTTCCACTCCCCAGGATCAGAGATCAGACTCTGGACCAACCCAACCACCCCATTCCCTCAAGACCGGTCATTCAAGTCGATAAGCCGCAGTCAGAGAGAGACAGAGAGAGAGAGACTAGAACTCTCATATGATTTCATCGGTGGCCCTATGCTGAAACTCAGCATACCAGCCGGCACCAGGGCTTTTCACCATCATATGGGTGGTTCCAACCCCGGGACTATCCGCTGACTAATGTAAAATTAGAGATTAGAATGACTTCTGATGGCCTTTGAGATAGTTCCTCATACCTTCTGGTCCCTCTGTCGGGTTGACTACCCACTTTTCCCTTTCCTGCTCGGACAGATGGCCTCTTCTGCTTTCCTCTCTAGAGTTTACACTGCTAAGCCGGTTGCTCCGCATTTAAATCTCAACTGTTCCAGTCTGATCGTGGTTGAAGGAAATGGCCAACTTCTGTCGAGGACCAACGATAATTGACTCAGTCTGTCCACTGCGCTGAAGAGCCTTGATCGACTCATCAAGAAGAGTTGAGACCATCGTGTTTCCCGCCATTGTAGGAATATACCGTTTCTGCAATGCTGAAACGTGGTTTCAATGGTCGCAGTCGATCACCAAATGCTGTGGCCGACTCATGGCTGGTATATTTCCGCACTTTATCACAAACTATTGCCACAGGTAAACGAAGGATCCCATTATGGACACGACTCAGAACTTCCACGGTCCACCTCGGTCAATTGACACTAGTGTCGATGGTCCAAACGCTCATTTTTCAAGTCAATATCTATACAACCTCGTACAGGGCTTACCTCGTCCGACAGGCTGCTTGTCATCAAACCATTCGTTTTTTCTCTCGTTCACGATCAACGACTGGATACATACTACCTGTCCAATCTTTTTTTAACCTCGAGAACCTCTTCGCGACGCCTCTCGATGATGACCTCTCCCCGAGGCGATGGGGTTCTGTCACGGAATAGCCTAGACGACCCTCCCCCGTCACGCTCATACTGTCTCTCGCGCCCCAGTTCCCGTCTCTCAGCTTCCAGTTTGCGGATTTCCTCCTTGATGTCACGCTCGCTGCGGTCTGGTTTGCGGTCGACCACCAGTGTGAGTTGATCAGGGTATTCTTTTCCAGCTTGCACCAGTATCGACGGTCCAGACGGTCGGTTTTCATATCGGTATCTAGGTGACCTCTCTCGTAAATCTTTCCTGTCTTCATACCATTCGTTTCTTCTCTCGTCGCGTTTATCCCTTCCCCGGTCTTCGTCCCGATCTGGTGCTTCTGGCACGAGATTCTGTTCGTTGAAACGTAATCTAATGAGCGTATCCGGTTTAACTATTGACTCCCAGGTCTCAGGAGAAATAATCTCATCGTTGGATCCGATCAAGTAGTAGCGACCATTTGCAACAGCCTTCAATGTTTCTTGATGGTTGGCGTGGTTAATGATCAAACTCTCTGTATCCTACCCAGAGATCAGTGTCAAATCGAAAGAGCAGGTAGACATTGTCTTAATCTCCATGTACAACATTGCTCCCACGGGAATGAGCAGAGCCATCCAGCAGGATCTTGTAGCGTAAGAAAAGAGAATTTCGACTCCGGAGGCGCTACAGCTCTGGCTTTTAGACCCTCAGCTTCCATGAACTGTGCAAAAAAGGCCTGGTTATCAATAAAGCTCGTTGTCGGTAGAGATCTCACGGAAGAAGACCTCGGCACAGCGGGACGTGCAATATGAGGCTGCCGTTCGCATTGTAAAGACATGTCATCGGAATCTAGAAGCTGTGGTTTCGGTAAAGCAAAGTCTCCTTTAACTCCCTCGACAGGGCTGTGCGGTTTATTGGATTTAACAGAACCTGCAGGATCTTCATGAGGCAAATCTCCATCGTCAGAGTGGCTCGATATGTCGCTGCCTGCAGTGCTGAAATGATTCTTCTGATCATCATTGTCATCTTCTCTATCTTCATCGTCATCTTGCATGTCGGGCGGCAGGGCGAACAGAGCAAGTTCCTCCAGGTGCTCTGCGAGATGACGTTCGATTTTTCTGTACGGTTCACTTTTACGGCACAATTGGCAGACCATCACTGTTAGTAGAGAGGTGTTAGGTTAGTCATGCCAATGTGTCTGAAGATGCAGAGACCAATCTCGTTGTCTCTCGTACATTTTGCTAGGTGTTGAGCAATCAGGGAAAATGCATATATACGGCATTAAGTCCCGAAAAACATGGCGCGCCCAGGATTTCCTGCTGTTCGTCGTCGTGATGAGGAAGCAATATGGACACTCAAATTGCTGCTCATTGCCGTAACCCATAAGCGGTAGAGGAACTCTTATACTCTTCTTACCCACCAGGAACGAGGCAGCATATGAAGTCGTGGACTCTCCACTTACTGATTCGGACTCGAGTTTGGCGATTGGACCTCTGTCATCGTAGTCAGTTGCCAAAGTCCCGGAGATAACGGTGGACACCCCGTCATGGGTTTCGACGTGAACGTGACTGATCCCTTTGCCTAGTTTGGCTCTGTGCCTCGCCAAGGCCTTCAGGTGCCGGCATCTGTTAGAAATGGCTCTTCCCAGCCTATCGACCACTATGGAGTCCGCATCAGGAAACTTTTCCCGTACATGATTCCGATCAAATGGCTCGTATCCGGCTGCATCGTCTTTCTGGTATCTGAGAAAACGGTCCTGTTGTGATGGCTGCCTTACAAGAATAGACATTCGATAGAGGTTTGTGATGACTTGCACCATGTCGTTGAATATTTCCGCAACTTCTGCTTCTCTGCCATCGTCATCATCATCGTCAGCTCGACATTTCTCATTGAATTCAACGAGAATCTCCTCAAGATCTTGCAATGTCATTTTCAGGCTTTGCAGCAAGTTGATGATCTCCGATTTGATGTGCGATGCATTCCTTAACCGGTAGTCGAGGGAAGATTGGTCTTTCTGATGGGCACCAATGTTCGCAGCCCATACCCTCAATCTTCCAAGCTCATCATTCCAGACGCATTTTGGTATGCCGGAGGAGGATTTGAAAAGATCATCTCTTGCCAGAAGACCATTGAATGACTTCAAGCGTTCAAGTAATTCCGTAGATATAGAAGCAGAGGCCATCATACATGCAGATTAAGTCGTCGATATAATGCAGATGAAAACGGATCCAGGAGAGTAATGATCTGCGGGTATTGGATAACGGACACCTTTCAACAAATAAATCGATTTGCAACTAGCTCAATACGTTGTTCATACTCTGAGATATCCCGTAGTCTAGGCTTCGGGGTAATGAAATCATTGCGGAGAAAGGCTTTGATAGCGAGGGCCTCGGACAGGAGATGACAATGAATTAGAGGGGTAGATGAGGCTCACGAGGCTGCAAGTGGGGGCAACGCCAGGACTGGTTAGTAGGTGGGGCCAGGACCGCGGGGTACCGGGAGTTGCCTTCAGTACCAGGTAGCTCTCCACACTGTTTCTTCGATCAACGGCCTCATGAGAAAACCAACTTACCTCAGCAGCTCTAATCCGCAATGCATTTTTCCAGTCCTTGAAGATGTCGGGTTTCGAAATCGCCGGTGTTGTACTCGGAATCCTGCCGATCGTTGTTAACCTCATCGGCGAGTATCGAGAAGGCGTCGATACCGTCAAGACTTTGATGTCAACCCGCAGATATCGAAGAGAACTTAGGCGCTATCGGGATGGCCTCGGCACAGAGAGCACCATTTTTTAGAATACTCTGGAAAGTGTCCTTGTCCAAATAGTGCGCGATGAAGAAGACATAGCGACATTGCTGCAGCATCCGGACAGTGACCTCTGGAAACGCAGCCAATACAATGCAGACCTCGAGAGATTGTTGAAAACCAGCTACGGAGCCTATATGGCGACTATGAATGAACTCGTCTATCTTCTCGATAGTCTGAAGGAAAGGTTGGGCGCCAATTCGTCGCCGTCGAACACGATGCGGAGTTTTAAAAGGATCAGTGATCTCCTTTCCAAGGGTGTCTATGAAACGCTTCTCGGCAAGATCAAAGCTGCAAATCAAACACTATTCACCATTACCGAACAAGTCTACACGTTGGCCGAGACTCGAAAGACCCGTTGGCCGAATCGAGGGTTATTCCAAGACTACGCCAAAATTAGACGGTATGCTCGCAGTGTGTATGACACATTTGTGTGTGGCAATTGCTGGAATTGCCCCTGCAAATCGAAGCACATCCTTCAGCTGCGTCTGGAGAATCCACCACACAAAGGCCATGCCGGTTGGCCGAAGCGTATCCAGACCAGGTCCAAATTTGTCATTCACCGACTTTCACACGATGAAGGTAGCGAGCTAGGAGACTTGAAATCAGGGGAAGAAGTAGAGATTGAGGCAGCTGACCTACAAGATCATGCAGACTCCACAGCATCCCGAAAAGTCACACAGACACAAACCCCTCAAGGCGCGAAGAACAGTGAGCCGAAAGGGGTCCATTTCAGTCTTATCAAGTCGACCCTCGAGACGATCCCGTGGCCGATGAAGGACGACCGTAGTCAACAGATTCTTGATATCTGCAATGCTCTTAAGCTCTGCCCATGCGAAGGTTCGAAGCGCGAACACGTTGGTTTTCTCATCGATGATTTCAATCGCCGTCGGCACGACATTTATATCGTCAGAAAACTTCCAACTAACCAATCCACTCGGTCCGTCAAAAGCATTCTCGCCGATCATTCTTTATCTCCAAAGGTGGGTGGCATTCCACTGCCGCCCATCAGTCAACGAAACAGACGGTACCTTGCGGCTATTTTGGCCTCGGGTGTTTTCCAGCTCCACGGAAGTTGGTTGGAATCTCAATGGGGCCTCAGCGATATCCTGCTGGAGTCGCAAGCAAACTACTATTCTAACAACTTGATCAGCCTTCCGTAGCTATCTCGAGCTCTCGTTCAGGCAGCCTTAAGAGCAGAGGCCCGATCCCCTCGCAAAATGATCAGCCCAGCCATGATCAGAAGCAATGTTCTTTTTCCACTCGGCCTTGCGTTGGTCGAACTATCTCTTGGACAGCCCCTCGAAGTACTATATGAGCCGCAAGACCACGGTGCTATCGAAGCGGTTGCTAATCTCAAGACCGCGCTTCGGGTTCTGGACTTTGTGCATGATAGAAGTGGGAGTCGCTATTGTGATGTAGTGAAAATGTGCTTGCTCTGGACCGGCCCTGATGGAGACCAACTTGACGATAAATCGCTGCAAAATGCGGTCTTTGAAAAGGTTGTGATGCCACTTCTGGATGACCTTGATGATTTTGAGGGAAGCTCTTTTATTCGTTGAGGCACTAGGGCTAACAGATTGTTCATCTTCCTCCTATGCCCTATTTTGAGCCAAGTGCAGGTCTAGTTTCTTTATAAGGAATCGCTTCCAGTGGAGGTGTCATCTCTATTCATCTTCACCGGAACCAATCTTTTATCGTTCGAGACTGCAGTGGGAGTGCAAGGAAGTGGTATGCGAAGGTTCTTGCTTTTGTCGGCCAATAACTCTGCGGCGGATGTGCAGCGGAATGCTTGGCAATGCTACGGTCCGTCACAGAGAGTGTAAGACGCAGGTTCACGGTGGTAGTTTGCCTCGAGAATTACATTATCGCCGTTTGTCCCTTCCAGACCAAGACACTGTCTTTCATTGCCTTCTTACGCCCCAAGTCCCTATCACTCACTGCTGACCTCTTCAGACGCGCCGTGAAGTCGCATCCACAAGACCTGAACGTCGTCGAATCTCCACCAAACTCTTTCCTCATCCCACCCTTCCACATCTATTCCTAGTCCGACATTATCTCTTCCTCAGTCCGCTTCCACGCTGCCTGCGCCCCTCGTTCTACCATCTCAGCTCAGTGACGTCGTGCGCCGGTTCCTAGCATCCCGCTCGAAGAACGGCCACCGAACAGTCTGATCTCATCCTTGTGCAAGCTTCGGCGCATTCCTTGACCTTCTTTCTCCGCTCCAGCCAGCTAGGCAATATTGGATACCCCGAAGCAAAGAACAGATGAGACAATAAAGAGACTGAATCAATAAATACCGGTTGGTGGAAGGGTTTCGCCGGGCTGGCGCAAGCCAGGAGAGCATTGTAGCTAGGTGGTGTGGCTATTGTCTTGTGCTCTCCAAGAGGTTATCCCCGCCTACGATCGTTCCAAGTGCCTGCCTATGCCCTGCACAATCTCTATCTTTCAGCTTATAACACACTTCCTTCCGACTCCAATGCCTTTACGATTTGAACGCGCTTGACTGCTATGGACACCCGCGAGTTTGCCACGAGAGACGAATTGTGGCGCATTCAAGAGACGCTGAATGATCTCTCTGCAACCCAGGCTCTTCACTCAGATCGCATTATGCGTTTGGAACAGAAGACTCCAGATGGCGGCAGACCTAGAAGTCTGTGGGGTGCAAGCTCTCCTTTCCCCTTGGGCTCTTCGCATCATGGTAAGCCGATCATACAAGTAAACGCATCCATACTAAAGCTTATTCTTAGAGTCGACGCTCAACCCGGCTGCTGAAGCATTCCGCAACTTTGATGCAGATCCAATGATCAGCTCCTTAACCTTAGATCCAACCGACGACTCACGGAGAGCCGCTGCGTCAAGAGCCAACTCGGTCCGGTTCGACGAGAGTGCCAACAATCACTATGGCTCCTCGAGACAGTCGATGGAACTACCCACACGTACAGGTAGTGGGCTTGGTGGCCATGCGCTCTCCGAAAGATCTCTTTCGCATCGGTCTGACGGGAGGCCTGCGCCTACTGGATTTGGTCGGACGAACAGCTTCGGTCTTGAACAGAGTCGCCTGCTTGGTTCGATTCACAACTCGCCCCGAGTTTCGGGCAATCCTCCGCCAGGCTTCTTCATCTTAGGACCATGTCCGGCCATCATCCGTTGCTGGTTGACTCAGTCCTTCTCCAACAGCTCTCTGCTGTACGCTGTCATGTGCACTGGTTCAACGGTTTCATCTGTCAGCTACTCGCTCTTGTGTAAACTTGACCTGACCGAGGCCATATTTGGGGATGGAGATAATCGCGCCATTCGACTGCCCGTGTATTTGACCGAGGCCAAGATTCACAGTCCCGCTGCTGTGAGATCAGCTAGTCCAGTCCCACCAATTCCCACTTTGATGGTCAAGTTTGTAATCGACGAACAAACGGTGACGGATTCGTCGATTCAGATTATCCTGGGCAGCGATGTACTAAGATCACACAATGCCGACATCTTGTTCTCACAGGACAAAGTCATGATTTTTGACGAGGATCGAAATCAGGTCTCGATTCCCTTGTGCAGACCCGAAGATGATGCCTCTTTCAAGGATCTGTGCACGGTTTCTCGCCATCGATCATCCTCAATAGGAGAAGCTCTACCACCTCCTGCCTCCCCAGTGGGGGTTATTGGCCAACCGGAAAGGCTCAACACGACCCACAGCATCGTATCATCTATGGCAGCTCCATCCAGTAGTTTGCCCTCTGCTACGCCATCCGAACCGGGAGATATACACAGAATGGATCAGCCCGTGGAGCTTTCAACGCGATCCAGTCTAGATTTGAGTCAGCCGAGACCTGCCGATGACTCCAAGTCCGCGACAGGGAGCGAAAAGTCGTTCACCGCGCCTATGTCGAAATCTGGGTCAGGTGTTTGGTCCAGCTCTTGGCGTTCGGTGTCCTCTAGTAATCCTAACGATGCAAGCTCCAAGGCTTCGTCTAGCTATGCACGACCTCACACCCAGAGAACCATGAAAATCTTGCGCCCAGCGAAGACAATGGCCAATGCGACCAGAACTACCTCTGCGTCGGCCACAAACTCCAATGGCACGGAAGCCACGCAGGCAAAGCCGAACGAAGGTGGAAAGGTTACAGCTCCATCAGATTTTAGCGGAGAGCTGAAATCTTCGCAAGCGACGCCGACAGCAAGGACTAATCCAATCGGCTCTGGTACGGCATTCGGTTGGTTGAACACAGGACCGCAGCGGAAAACAACGGCGAATAGTGGATGAGATGCTTCATAGAAGCCTCTCACTTTGACCCAACGTGGTTGACCTTCGACTAGGAACCTGACGAAGCCCATTTGTTGCCACGATGATGAAGGTAACGGAGGAGCATGGAGATTGGAGGGAGAGGGATGCTTTTTGAGCGCAGGCTTCAGTTGGCATGGGCCCAGTATTCCAAGCCGTTGTCTGGCATTTTCTCATCGAAGCTGGGGACACGCAGGGCAGATAAAATTCAGAAGAGCCTCGTAAGGGGCGAACATTGAGAAAATAATCTGAATATTCATAAAAAGGCGAAGGATGTGTGAGGCTGTGTCCCCACATTCTGCCATGGGCATTCTATTTGCCGCCTCATTACTGAGTACCTTACTACAACTTCGGCCATCGTCCCGTTCGCCCGATTCTCGCCGACAAAAGCTAGAAAGATGTGAGATCATTGTCCATTTGGCGAATTTTATTTGCATGCCTTTCTACTGTTTCTTTCTCATTCGAAACAACTTTTAACGCCGACTTCAGACACAGAAAGTCTCCATCAGTAGAGGGTCTTTCCCAAACTCAGCCCCTCCCCAATCCACGGCCTTCCTTGCAGCTCGACAGACACATTTTCAGTTCATCCGACACGCAAGAGCCCACAAGCCGGAGGACTCAGGATAAAGACTGAGTGAGTGAAACGGCGAGAAAGATGTCGGCGAATAGTAAAAGAATTGGTTAGTTCTTGTGTCCTCTTCTCCTCCTCTTTTGTCTTTCCCATCTGGTGCTTTGTCAGATTCATCCTCTGGGGTGCTCTGTGGTAGAAAGATCACATGCGACGCAGGGTTGAATCTATGTATTGATCTACAGATGGAAGCAAGGACGTATAGATGGACCAGCCCAATCATCGTATTCGAGTTTGAATTGCTGACTGACATTTTATCCCCCCCTGCGGGCTGGCATTCACAGCGAATCCGGTGTTATTGTACGTTTTCTCTCCTGTTTCCCCTCCAAGATACAGACACATGGTACCTATCTTGCCACCTGCCACCTACAACCTTCCTTACCGAAAGAAAACTTTGAGTTTGGCGCTGAAGGGACAATCATATATATGGGTCCCCTCCCCATTCGCCTACCTGCTCAATGTCTCTCGCTCACCAATTGGCTGCTTGTCTTCGCTTTGCTCAGATATGGACAAGCAAGACCATGACCACCGAGAGGGTGATGGCGCATGCAGAATTTGATCAAGTCATGAAAGTTGGCTTGGTTTGGGCAACTATATATTTATTCACTGACAAGCGTTCGCTGCTCTACAGTATTTGCGACATCCAGGAGAAATTTCGCAATGCCATCTGGGAGTTTCCCAAGGTGTATGTTCTCTCCTCCTTCTCTCCCTCCGCCGCCACGGAAGAAATGCATTCCCGCTTTAGGGACGGACCCAGAAATTGAATTTGTTGGACTTTACTTACTCTATGGCGGCGGCCGAATGGAACAGGATAGCTACGAGCCAGAAACTGGTTAAAGCAGGTATGTAAAGAAATGAATGAGATTTTTTTTTTTTTTTTTTGATTTTTCCCACGTCTTTTCTTCTCTTCTGCCCCCTTCCTCTCCCTAGCCTGCCTCCTCCTCTGTTCTTTCTTTCATGCCACATGCATCCATCCTCCCCACCAGGCCTCGCCCTTCTTCCCTTCCACTCTTCTCGTGGAGAAACTAACATCCCACCCCTTTCCCGCCTACATAGCCAAAATCCTCAACATACCCATCTTTGTCACAACCCAGAACGCCGCGCGCCTGGGCTCCACGGTCCCGGAAGTCACGGACCTGATACCCTCGAGCTGTCCCGCGGTGATCGACAAGACCACCTTCTCGATGCTCGTACCGGATCTCCAATCCCACCTCTCATCCCTCACAACCTCCCATCGCGAGAAATTATCCGTCCTCCTCGTCGGCATCGAGACGCACATCTGTGTCACCCAGACGACCCTCGACCTTCTTGCCGCGGGCCACAGGGTCTACGTGATCGCCGATGGCGTCTCGTCTTGCAACGCCGCCGAACGACCCGTCGCACTGGCGCGGCTCGCGAGGGAGGGCGCGACCATCACCACCTCCGAGAGCGTGCTCTTTGAACTCGTCGGCGATGCCAAGGATGAGAACTTCCGCGCCGTCAGTGCGCTGGTCAAGGAGACCAAGGAGGAGACTAGGCTCGCTGTGGAGACGTTTTGTCGCTTGTAAGTGGGCACCTAGATACGTGAGAACGTATGTAGATCCGTACATAGATCCAGGTTTCAAGGGGCAGGGAGTGAGAGGATAGATGGGTGCACGAAGCGGAGGCGGGGAAATGGTCGG